ATCCTGGCCCGGGTACCCAGGCTAACACGGTCAAGCACGGCAGACAGCCCACGTCTGCACGCGTTACACTCAACGTACGGCTGGAGTTACACCGGGGAAGAACTCTTCAACTCGTGTACGTGTATGCTGTTAAACTGTGCTGTAGTATGTATAGAAAGTGTTAACCTTGCCCTTGTTATCGTATAGCAAGGAGAGAAAAAAATGTAGCTTGCATTATTTTGTTGTGATGTTTCCTTCCATTGTCCAAAAAGGACTCAACTCAAGCTCAGCTTTCCAATGTCAACCTTGAAAGCAATCCTTAATTCAAGAATTCATTACTGAATAGAATTTTTAAAAACCAAGACACTTTTAAGCTCAATAAATCTTGGAACTGTCTATTAAGGATTGTACAAAACCTACAAAAGTTGCCCCATTTCATACACTCAAGCACTGTAGAAAAATATATCATATTCATAAATTATATTCCTAATGCAACTATACGAAACCTTCCATCGCCTTGAAAAACGCCTTTTACCTACACTATAAGTTCTCTACCGTGAAAGGCAAGTATGGTGTAACTGTGCTGTAGAAAGTGTTAACCTTAACCTTGCCCCTTGTTATCGTGTACTACAGCAAGGAGAGAAATGAACTGTATGGGTTTGTACAAAACCTTTTAAACAAAAGTATGTTCCAAACTTTACCACTGGATATGACAATTTATTATCAGACGTTTAAAGTATCGTTTAAAGAACAGTTATACGGTTCGCTACCAAATGTAACTTCAGTAGTCAAATGTCGACGACTAAGCTTGGCCGGTCATGTAATACGTAGTGAAGAACCAGCCAGTAGGCTTCTACTCTGGAACCCTGATACCTGTAAGAGAAGAGTTGGACGCCCAAACATAACAGTTAAGAAACTTATTGAAACTGAAACTGGCTTGGAGGGACATGAACTTTTCTCAGTGATGTATGACAGACAGTTGTGGCGAACTAACTTTGTATGCTCCACCTCTACGGAGGATGAATGATGATGATGATAAAGTATCGTAAAAGATACTCGTGAGAAGAGTGACAGACACTTGAAACGTCTGATAATGAATTGTTCTATCCTGTGGTAAAGTTTGAAACACAATTTGATTTATATATAAACCTGTTGACTAGGGCAGACAATACTATTAGATTTGGCCATAGGAACACATGCTTAAATACATTTATTAGAAGTCCTCATGAAAGTACTTGCCCATACTTCAATCTCAAAAATTTTTCTGCACCAGGTAGCCACAAGGAAACAGGGGGTCGACCATCTCAAATTCCCGCCACAGCTGATGATAGTAACAAAACCTCAACTTTGACCTAATTTTCCATGGTATCCATCCGCCTGGCCAGATAAGAACTAACCCACTCACATCTCTCATTACGCCGACTAAACTGGTGAAATAACAAAACTTGACCAAAGTAGGAAAGTTTAGACCCTACCTGTGCCTTCCAGCCCAACAATCTCCAAAATGGACCAAAACTTCAAAGAGAAAAAAAAAAGATTTTCAAAGGTATTAACTAGGCACTACAATCGTCACTGCGCAACGCAAATGTGGTGTCTGCCCACTAAGGATCACTAAGGTAAAACCTATTAAAATCCATATTCCTAATGAAGCTATACAAACCTTCCATCGCAAAAAAATATCTTCTGTTGCCTCTACTATAACTGAAAGGCGAGGTAGAAGTTGAATTTATTTAATGATAGTTAGTTTTATTTTCTTTCTGTTAACTGTCTCTTTTCATCATGTTTTGTGTTGTGACTTAAACTTATATTTAGACAGGCAAAATGTGAGATACATGTAACAGGATACTACCAAAATGTTCGTAATAATAATATATCATATTCGTATTTTTGGTTGTCAAAACCCATCCTGGTCTTGATGTATATATATATTATGTTACAAAATGTATAAATACATATCCACATGAAATTATTGATTTTAATATCACAAAGGATTATGAATCGTTTTGATGTGTTAGGTAGTCGAATCTTCTATTTTTCTTCTGGCTTGCACACTTTATTTCTGCACATCTCGCACCACTCACTGTAAGACTGAAATACTCCCCGAGCAGAGGTTTTGGCTTGTTTTTGGCGTGTTTCTAGTTTTTTTTTATTGGGCTTTCTTTTTTGAACTGTTATCTTTTTTACGCACCAGTGCAAAAAAAGGAAGCCTGATATGAAAGCCCACAAAACACGCCAAAAATAAGCCAAAACCCAAACCTCTGCTTGTAGAGTAAGAGTGAAATTTGTTGGCCCGAAGTCGCGGTAAGCCGTACAGAGTTTAACCGCTGGTGTAAAATGTTCCTCCACGCCTGCCGAACGCAGGTCACGGTCCATCAAGCACGGGAAATTCACCTGCGCCGCCCAGGTGTTAGCCCGATCCCCGCAGCCGCGCCGGTTATCGCGCCTCGGCAGGGGCGCACTCTCATTTTGTGCCCTCGCCTTCTTCTGAAGTTGTATCCTGGCATCTACAAAACAATCATCAGCACTGAAGCTGTCATTTGCGTTAGTTATTTCCTTCTACTGTTCTATCCCCAACAGCAGTACTCTCATTTCGTGCCCTCGCCTGCTAAAACTAATACTGGTTAAAGAAAGATGTTTTGGCAAAAACAAGAAACGCTTCACAACTTCACATCTGCACCATTCTATGAAAGTTGGGTCCTGGCATCTCACTGTGGCATCTACTATTCAATCAACAGCACTGAAGCAGTCATTTACGTTAGTTATTCCTTTGCTGTACACTCAACTTTTGCCCTCTATTAAAAAGAAGACTGTTGCCTGCTAAAAGAAGTCTGCACTATTCCTTTTAGTTGTGTCCTGGCATCTACTATTCTATCAACAGTGTTGAAGCTTTCATTTGCGCTATTTCTGTGACTTGTCTTCGTCTGCAAAAAATAAACATAAAGATGTTTTGACGAATTCAAGTACAAGAACCGCTTCCTTTGCTGTAACATCTCGGCAACTTCAAGAAGTTGGGACCTAGCATCTACTCTTCAATCAACAGCATTGAAGCTGCCATTTGCGTACTCTCATTTCTTGCCATTGCCTGCTAAAAGACGTCTGCACCATTATTTCAAAAGCTGTGTCCTGGTATCTACTATTCAATCAACAGTATTGAAGCTTTCGAATTCGTTTGCGCTATTTCTGTAATGTACACTCATTTCTTGTAACTCGCAATCGTCTAGTCTATTCGACACATTCTCTACTCAACTCAAAGAGTAAAAAGGCAATGTCTTCTTTTTTGTTTGCTTTGTTGAACTTACGTTCCCACCAATTGGTGACACTGGGAAGGATTACTTGAGATTCTCAATATTAGTTTGTAACTCTTTATGTTCATGAATTGAAAACACTGTAATTCTTAGCTTCTTGTATGTCAGAATGTGCCCCCCTTAAAAATTTATCTTTTATTGAACTTGGCAGTCTGGAGGCAAACCGATTCTAACCCATACATGTGAGGGTTCTAGTGACACTATTGTTACACCACAATCAAAGTTCTGTAACCTAAAAATCAGGGAAGCGCAGAACCAAACGACAGTGGTGGTCGTTCTGTCGGAAGTCCGAGGATTACGTTTTTCACGTGAGCCCAGTCGGACAGCAGAGGTGTTAAGTGCGGGCTTAACTATTGTTAAGTAGTGAGAAAATGGACCATTCTTATGCCGCATGCCTTGTAAACTGCTGTAATCTGGAGTCGCCCCGCCGGAGAAAGGGCCACGCGGGAAACACGCTGCCTCTCTAAACATATAATTGCGCGGTTTATTTTCGTAGCTCAATTTGTTTGGGCAACGCGACCTTTCCGTGAGTGTCATTTTGTCGGGCGGGTCGCACTATTGAAACAGGTGCGCATTAGCTAGGGACGAGGCCACTACAACACTACAGCCGCCACCGCCGTGAACAGAGTAACGACACCTGGCGAGAATGGTGTGAACTGCAAGCAAGACCCGCCAGTATGAGATCCTCCTTCCCGAAATTAACGGGACAGAAGCGCCACTATGCAGCGATATCGTGATATGCACCTAGCTGCGTTATACGCCTAACGACTTCTCAAGTTCATCAGCGTGCTCTCTCAACGTCTTATCTTTAAACCCCGCGCCTAAACAAAAGGAAAAAAATGTCTTTCCTCAGCCCCCGTTCCTTGCCCTGTCGAGACAGACAGAAACACAGTTGGTGATGAACACGAATAGAAACCAGGGCCGACTGGGGTAGCAGCCCGCGGTGGCTCCCACAGAACCGCAGACATTCCCCAGACCACGGTTTTGTTTGTTCTCTGAAAGCGGGACGCGGGTGGTCCCTACCCGTCGTCTGGACCTTTTTATCTCCTGGTCAAAAGGGCGTTCTTCCACCCGGCTATGGCGTGGAGAATCGTTTGAAGTGTACTGTCCTTCCGTCTTTCTTCTTAAATACGTTCCACAGAACGAGGTATATATTCTATGAGAGATGGAAGAGGCTTTAGAAATGAGCAGTGACGCGGCGCTGTCCTGTGTCTTCACGGTTTGTGTGTGCAGATCGGTTTCGCACGCGCTCGGGCGAGACGAATGAGAGTCGTGACACGCCAGGGTAAAGATATTTCTGCGAATGTTAACTTCGACTTTCATATTTGCAGTAAATTAAAAGGAGCTCAGAATTATTCTTATGACATCCATGAAGACCATAAAAAGTTATTACTAGTATATAAAAGTGCAGAAGAAAAAGCCTGAATTTCCTCCAAATTAGCCTGGATGCCAGACCCAAAGCACACTGGACACAAAATATCTCAGTGAGCAACTGAGATATTTTGTGTCCAGTGTGCTTTGAGTCTGGCATCCAGGCTACTCCAAATCCACTCACAGTCTGTCTGTTAAGTCTTGACCTGTACCTAGCCCGTCGTGGCATGAATGTACAATAAAGGTATTTCATTTCATTTCATTTGTAACGTCAAAGACGTCCTTGGCACGTCTACTGGATTGCAAATTAAAGACAATTTAATATTAATTAACACAGCCTGAACGCACCAAATATTTTAGTCCTTGATAGACTTAACTTACTGTGGCATACGTGACAAATAAAATGTGTAGTTAGTCCATTGCCATTCAAAATCAATGATATATTTTTCTGGGAATTATTTTCAGGACTAACTTAGACTTTTACCAGGTGTATAAGGAAGCTTATGTTTTGGCGTCAAACCTCTGCACATAAAAGAACCCAACACACTTATCAAGCAGAGTAGGAATGACCTGGTGTACTTGGCTAAACATGTGAACTGTAACGAAGCCACATTGTGCTTGTAGCGACTTGAAAAGGCTTCATACTTCACCTCATCGGTTGAGGATGACAAAAAATAAAAACAGTTCTGAGATGGTGAAGTGGAAAGTACTAGTAGGTACAAAAGCGCCTACTAACAGGATCTCTCAGTATTGCAACCAAAGTGGCAGTATCAAGAATGGGTTTGGACCAGTAACTTTATCTACTACACAAGTATCTGAAATACATTTTTACTGGGAAAGCATAGAAAATAATTCTTTATGATCATAAGTTTTATTTCAATCTATTCATCTCAATCATAAACAAGCCTATTTTGTCTACTGAAATTGTTAAAAATTAAATAATGTGAATAAATTGTACATGGACAAAACACATGGGCAAATTACATGGTCATGATAAAATTCACAATCACTGGGCAATAGGTTCAATTCAAGTGACTCATCAAGTTAATCAAATTGTGAGTAAGAGAGATGTGTCAGAATAGAAAACTCAGCAGCCCAGGTGTGTCAGATTTACTGTCCTGTCTTGACAGGTGAGAAGTTCTGTTTGTACGGTCGTCGTCTCCTCTTCCTGGGCGGAGGGGTCTGGGTTGCCTTCAGGTAACCTTCACGGAAAGAAAAACACCTGTTAGACTCATTTAGAGATTATTTATTTCGAAAATTGCGACATTCACAATACAGTGGCCACCCTGGCAGCAGAGCTGATGGCGGGGGCCACAGACAGACATGACTACATGACTATACATACATTGTTGATTAACATATAAGTTATTATATTTACAATACTAATTAAAATGGGTAAACTTAGTTGGAGGTCAGAGGTCGAGAATCCGCACAGTGGAAATAATAGACAAGTGCACTAGACCAAATGAACAGGTGGAAGGACACTTTAGAAACGTTTTGTTTGCAGGATGTAGACCTGAAGAGCGGCCGAAATATTTTGGTTTGTAGAGAGGTTGTGACCTGGAAGACCATTGAGGAGCATGTTGGTGGAGAGGGATTGATCCACAACGCTACGTACAGCGGTGGCAAGTGTTTGCCTTGCGTCCTTGTGCAGAGATTAGTGATTAGTGATTTAATTTAGTGATTTAGAGATTAATGAAATGATAAAACAGGAAATCAAAGATTTTAATGCCCAATGAAGTTTTTAGAGTTCTCTGTGTATATTCTGTCAATCAGCCAGGAAGCTCACTTCCTACCAGTTTCTACCATTTCGACCTCCAAAAATGCAATTTTCCTGTCAGTCTATGGTTACAGCATTCCACCTCCTTACTTCCTGTGACTCTACTGTACTCCAATAACTAGACACACAGAAGCAAACTGACAAACAAACCAAAAACAGAATGTCTGTACACTGAGTTATGGGGAAAGATTTTAGCTACCAAGTCTCTTTCGTTATCTCTGCAAAGATGAAGAGAGTTGCCAGCTAGAGTAGGTTTGGTAAGCAGGCTAAATGAAAGTCTCACCTCTAGTCTTACACTCCTGTGTGGTGGGAAAGCCGAGTGACCAGAAGTGCTCAGGTGTGGAGGTGGGGGAGTGACGCTGGCGGTGGCGCGACGTCGCCTTCATACGCAGCTTCTTCTCCGACTCCGACATGTCTCCGTACCACTGGGGTCAAGAAACAGTTATACATACACATGTACTAGTATACAAAGCCTCTGTACAATGAGGAAATAAAGAAAAGTGCAGATTCCAGATTAGACTTCTTCTGGGACTCCGAAATGTCTCCATACCACTGGGGTCAGGAAGAAGTACTGTTAACTTGTAAACAATTTATACCGCAAAACATCTAGCTAATAGCCTGAGGGTCAGCCTTTTTAGCTTTTGTCTGCTAGCAGATCGTGGGGAGTGGATGAAAGCTAAAAAGGCTGACACTCAAGCTATCTAGCTAATGCTGAGCATGAAACTTGCTAGGCTGGGACTTCAACATGTCTCTGTACCACTGGGGCCAGCAAAAAGTATGGTTTAGTGGTAAACAATCTTATACTGCAAAACATCCAACTACATGCAATTCTAAGCATGAAACCTGGTAGCCGAGATGTCTGCCTCAAAGCACAGATACCAATTCCTTCGACTTTACCCTTTGGGAGAAAAGAGATGTATGTCCCTTCCCAGAGTTAGCCAATGTGTGAGGGGGAAGCTGAGGAGCTTGCTGGTGTACGCCCAGGGAACAGTCTGGTATCCAGGCTATAAACTTGATGATATAGAGGAAAGTGGTCAAAGATTGAATGGAAGGAAAAGTTAGAGAATCGACAGCTTTTGACAAGTTGTGTTTGATGAAACGAGTGCATGTGTTTGACAGACAGCACTATTTGTTGCATTACACAGACTGGCTTTGAAACACCTCACTTTTTCACTTTATCAGTTCCAATTAAAGTTCTGCTGAGATGAAGAAAAACTTTTAAATCAAAAACACTTGTCCTGAACCAATTACTGGCATGTCAGCAACTCATTAAGGATAGCAGCTGACACAAGATGTTTCTTACCAGACAAGGATGATGACAACATCAAAACCTCCAAACCAACATTAAAGGGCAGGCTCACAAGAAACAGTCTGCAATATATTTTCCCCAATTTCCTTATCTTCAACCTTTCCAGATGGTCTTGTTTTTGTGGTCTGCAGCACGCTTCCCCAGCCCAGCACTTAACCCCGTGACCTCTGACACCAGGTCAGACTCTGAGCGACCCCTGGTGACCCCGTGACCTGTCCCCCCTAGCCCCGCCCCTGCCATCCAGATGATGGATGATCCAGGTGTCTGGTCCTGACAGGGGTATGCAGGAGACAGCAGGGGAACCAGCTGGGTCTGTCTGAAACTCTGATGACCCACTAACCCACTCAACACTCACAGGACCCATTCATCAGGGAGGGTTTGTCTCAGTGTCTGTATGTCTGTCTTAGTTCTAGATCTAAACAATTTATCTGAAGAAGTGGTGTTGAGGGGGAAGCCCATGGGCACTTCCCCTCAGCCAATGAGAATTGTTCATTTACTGTGGTTACCAGTTAAATAATCCACACAGTGTAAAACTATCAAGAACTTGAAGAAGTGTGAGGCTATTTCATGCTCATCCCCTCACACACTACACTGGTACAGGAGAGAAAAGCTCTGTTCTCTGGATGTGTAAGAGCCATGGTAGACAGTGGATTTGGATTGCCTTGTTGGAAACCTAGAACAAATTTTATATTTTATTATTTATTGTTTGATTCAGGCAAAGCCCATAGACAACATAGACAACACAAAATACATAAATTTTAAAATACAATGTCTATGATAAAAAGAAATCGAAACGGGGCCTATTTAAGGTCTGCTTACCAACTGGCAGTATCGACGCCAGAACTGACTTCTAGGGAAGGCATCAGAGCGTAAGAGCAAACTGATGTTGCCGTTACCCGACGCCAGGAGGCGAGCCGCAAAAGAGTGCGTCAGCTTTCGCCTCCTGGCGTTGACACCCAACTGGGCAAAGAACAGGCTGTTACTGGTGGAGTGAGGCTGAGACATGATGATTTTGAAAGCATCATGGTAAGCAACTCGCAGCCTCTGCAACACACCTGCGCTATGATTGTTCCTTATATTTCCAGGTATTTATAATACCTGGCTGACATCTCAGCTACCTCCTTCCAATTGATTTGTTGATTGTACAATTGTAGAAATTTTCTAAAAAAGTAAGTATCTTTCAAAGTCAAGAAACTACAATGTGCTAGATATTCACTAATCTAACAAATTGCAAAATACATCTTCGTGGATTTAGTAGCCATCATAAAAACCTTTCAACTTCCCATATTGGGTCTACAGGTTTGACTGTTTGACTTACGTCCTTGCAGCATTGGCAGTCGTGTCCGTGCAGCTTTCTCCGCTCGTCTCTCTTCCGCACCACCTTGGAGTACTTGTAGTTTGGGCCAGCATCCTTCCTGGGAACCCTGTGCATCCATGTGGGAGACATTCAGATATCAACACAATCCAATGTTTAACCAGATGAATGGCCTACATTGAGAAATGACAGCAGCTTCACATTAACCCATAAGTTTGACAAATTCATGCACAATTCAATAATCCAACATGTTGCATATTAAAAGATTCAGTACTGTAGCCATCTTAAAAATTGTTTCATTTTCTAACAAAAAAGTGAAGGACATGGTAATGCACCAATAAACACCTGTCAAAATCTGCCAAGTTGTGAGAAAGGACTCTTGACCCTCTGCCTTCAGCCCTGTCCTCCCCCTGCTCCTCCTCTTCGTGGGGATCATCAGCTGGAAGAACACAGCAGTTTAGTTAGTACAAACTTTACTACTGCAAGTCAATATAAAGTAGTCAAACCTGCCAAGGTGACCATTTCTTCAAGCCAATCACCTGGCCATGGTGGCAACTGCTTTTTCTCAGTCCCCAAAATTTTCCCCTTTGATGCAAATGTTAAGCGACTGGCCCAGGGCAACCACCTGGCGAATGCAACTGCCACTGACTGAAGGATTTGACATCAAATTTCATTTCATTTTTTAAAACACCTCAAATTGGAAACTACTATGTCCCAGTCGTGTTGTGAGTCAGGAGAGTCAAACCTATTCAATGAGACCACCTGTCCAAAGCGACCACATTTCTCCAATCTCCTGGGAGGTCGGCCTTGGGCAGGTTTGACTGTAAACTTAACTGCACAACAATCGTAACAGGTACCGTACAACGTATGCCATCTTCTATTACACAACAACAGCCGCACTATAAGACTAATCTACCTTACATAGGACTATGTAGTATGGGATGATAATGCGCTTTTACAATTATTTGACAACTTATGAATTAGAAAAGATGCAAATATATGGCAGGAAAAATGAAAGCTGCACAAACCTTCCCACTCCTCCTCTCCCTCAAACAGGTCTGAGCAGCTGTCGTCTCCCACTGGCTCTTTCCTTCTGTGTTTCCCAACACTCTTCCTCTGCATCACTCCTGGTGTGCCCAGGTTTTCATCATCAGTGTCTGAGTCATTCTCTTCTCCAAAAGCTGTCTCATCATCAAACAGTCGACTGATGTCTGTCTTTCCTCTCCCAGACCATCCTGCATCATTCCTCTTCCTTCCTCTCCCTTCTCTCTCCTGCCCAAACCCCTGACTGTCTACAGGCAGTGTGGTGGTGTCCAGCTCTGTCAGCTGTATATCCGGGTCCAGGCTGCCGTTCAGAGGCCCGTTACTGTACTGCTGGCTGTGGAACTGTGCAGCGTCTTTCTGGGTGCTCGTGGTCGGGACTCCCGGGACCTTGAACTTCCCCGGCAGGAAGGTGGAGTCCGGGTCAAACAACGTGTCTTCCAGCGGCTGCCGGCAGTTCTCGCTGCTGGTGCTCCGTGCAGACGTGTTCCTGTTGCGTTTTTTGGCGCCTGGTTTCTGCGCCCTCTGGAAGGTGGAATCAGGGTCGAAAGTGTCTTCCAGACCCTGCCTGCAATTCTCTCTGCTGGTGCTCTGTGCTGACACGTTCCTGTTGCGATTTTTGGCACCGTTCATTGGTTTCTGCACCCGATGGGCGGGCTCCCCCGTATTGGTGATGTCGTGGATGGATCGCTGAACCGCCAGACGTACCGCCTCTTCCTCCGCCACCGCGTGAGGCGACGTTTCCGTCCTGGACAGCTCCAGAGCCTCCTGAAGGTCCCTGTCCTCTCCGCGGGGCGGATCCTTCTCCCCCCTCAGGCGTCCCCGGAACGCCGTGGACCGGTGCAGCTCTGTCTTCTGGTTAAACATGGCCTGAGTCAGGGTCAGCTGCTTCAGCCCTGGAGACGATTCCGTCGGCACACCGCTTTTCTGTTTGCCGCTGCTCTGACTTGACGTTGTCACTCTTTTATTTTTCCTTCTTTTGCCTTTTGCCCTGGTAGCAGAAAAAGAGGATGGAAGTTAAACGCACACCACTACAAGTGGACTAGCCGCCTGCTGTAGTGCTTTGCACAACTGTGTGGCCCAAGAGCTAAGAAACGGAGATGGGCGCTGCCATATGCAGGCCATGTTAATGGTTGCGGGAGGCCTTTAACTAACCTGGTAGCAGAGCTGTCGTCTTCCAAAATGTCGGAATCGTCCTCGTCGAAACAGGTTTTCCTCTTGCCCCCCCTGCCGTTGGCCCTGCCCTGTTGTGAGAGTTTGACCCTCCTGGGCGAGCTCCTGACAGCTTCGCTCTCCCGAGCAGCAGCGGCCCTGGTGGAGCGCCGGGGAGCTCGCCTCTCCTGTAGTACCTTAGCCGCCCGGCTTCTTCTCTTGGTGTGAAGTCCCTGCTGAGTGTCTTCTGTCTCACCTACAACCTGAGGAGAAGTATTATCCTATTTCACGCACTTAAGTAGTGTAGAAAAATTCATATTCCTTATGCGACTAGACAAGCCACCCATCGAAAAACAGATCTGTACGTTTATTGCTGCAATAACAGAAAAGCGAGGAGAAGTTGAATTTATATAACGATAGTTAATTTTGTATTTGTTAACCGTGTTCATTCTTATTGTTTTGTTGTGACCTGTACTTAGCCAAGTGTGGCAGAAATGTGCAATAAAGGTCTTCATTCATTCATTCATTCATTAATCAATGAATATAAGTTAAGAACTTAAGTACAGAATGAGGGAATGGAGAAAAAAGACTTTGATAACATTGGCTTGAAAAACGTTTAGACAACACATGGTCTATCCTGTTAAGTCTATCAAGTATGACTAACTGATTAGCATGAAGGTGAGTTGAGTCAAATTCTTTATGATTTGGATAACAATTTACATTTTGTAATTTTCACAATATGACTGAACTAGAATTCCGAGATCTCATACCTCCATGAAATATGATCTTCATATGTAAATGTAAATTTCTTCTTTAATTGTGCAAATGACCTATCATTAACATGATATATGCATCGTGATGTATGTTAACTTTTGATTAACTTACAGATGTCCCAAGTATGACATTCTCATCATTCACCACTACGAAATCATAGAATTTTCGCATTAAATATGCAAATTAGGTCATCATTTGCATAATTAGTATCTGTTGAAGTTCCGCCTGCCATAGGTTACATACATTGTATATATACATACAAATACCACCGTGGTTCCTCAAGTTGACAGCTAGTGAAATCGCGCCTGTTCTAACCAATATTTTCCAACACTCGCTAAACACTGCAGAAATCCCTAAAGATTGGAGGGATGCAAATATATGCGCCATCTTTAAAAAAGGAGATAGAGCGGTCCCCAGCAACTACAGACCTGTTTCGCTGACCTGCATATCCTGCAAACTACTTGAACATATCATCCATAGCCAAATCATGAAGCACCTAGAAAGTTACAGTATATTAACGGATTACCAGCATGGATTCAGAGCCAAACGATCCACAGAAACACAGCTTATACTAACAGTCCATGACATAGCTGGCGCACTAAAAAGTAAACGGCAGGTAGATTTAGCAATACTTGATTTCACTAAAGCCTTTGATAAAGTCCCCCATGGCAGGCTCATCTCAAAACTGGAGTATTATGGAATCCAAGGCCCTACGCTGAATTGGTTAAAGGCTTTCCTGACCAACAGGGAGCAAACAGTAGTGGTTGAAGGGAAGGCGTCGGCTCCAGTTAAAGTAGCGTCTGGGGTCCCTCAAGGAACCGTCCTGGGGCCATTGCTCTTTCTCTTGTATATAAATGACCTACCAGATCAGCTTGACTCAAATGTGAGGTTATTTGCCGATGACTGTCTATTGTATGTAGAGCTTTCTACACAGACCGACTCACAACTTCTCCAAAAAGACCTGAACACCCTGGAAGAATGGCAAAGCAAATGGCTCATGCAGTTTAATCCCGAAAAATGCTACATTATGCACATAACAAACAAACGAACACCACATGCAACTAGCTACCAGTTTTGTGGTCAGGCTTTAGCAACCACAAAAATCCATCCGTATCTGGGCGTCACGCTGTCAAGCGGACTGAAGTGGGGTGCACATGTTAATAATATCACAACTAAGGCGAAACAGACATTGGGAGTGATTAAACGTAATCTGTGGGCATGTCCAACGAGAGTAAAATCACTTGCATACACGTCACTTGTAAGACCGAACCTAGAATACGCTGCGACAGTATGGGATCCATATACAAAGAAAGACAAAGACAAATTGGAAAGGGTACAGAATCAAGCTGCAAGATTCTGTATGAACAACTATGTAAGAGGTGCTAGTGTCACGGAAATGAAAAGAAACCTACAGTGGACCTCGCTTGAAGACAGAAGAAAGATGGCTAGACTATGCATGATGTACAAAATGACTAATAAACTGGTGGATGTCCCAACTACTAAGTACCTAATACCAGCCCAGAAGAGAACAAGAAATAGCCACGCATTCAAGTACCAGAGTTATCAACCAAGGATTGAGGTGTTCAAGAATTCATTCTTTCCTAGAACTATCGCAGAGTGGAACTCACTGTCACCAAGTACAGTAGGGGCACTGTCAATAGATAGCTTTAAACAATGTCTAGAGCTAGAAGTTCAAGGGTTAGGTGTAACAAGTCGATCGGTGTAATATAGCCAGCTGCCGCCACGCCGCGTGCCTGCGAAGCTGGTGTGTTACGCCGAAAGGCGGTTATACCGGCTATACAGATACAGATACAGATTACATGTATGTAAGTAGTATAATGTAAAACACTGTAATTATAGAATTTCCCTATTAATTATGCAAATAAAGTCCTCATTTGCATAATTTGCATTTAATTATGTACATCTCTCTCTCAGCTACCTACACACCAAAAATAATGAAAATATGTTGTTCCTGTCTGGACTTATTGGCTTTTAAACATTTCGCCAGAAAGTGCCCTGCAGTTCCAGAACACATGACTTCTTCCCAAGCACGAGAGCTACCTTCCATCAAAATTTCATGACCCTAGCATGTCCAGATCGCGAGATATCAAAACCGGAAGTTGCGCTGCAGTACCAAGGGAAGCCACTAGGGGGACCAAAATCTAATCATTTCTAGTTTTCGTCACACCCTACCAACACACCAAGTATGAAACCAATCCATCCAGGCGTTCTTGAGTTATCTTGTTGACCAACAGACGGACAGATAAACGCAACTGAAACTAGAGAGGCCGACATTTGCTTGGGAGCAAATACAGCATATTTCAGTCCATCTCCCTCCCACGCAAAAGTGGACTATTCCAAACTTACCCCAGTGTAAAACTGGCAAAGATTCTCAAATAAATGAATTATATAGTAGCTATGTAATTGAGAACAAAGATGCAAGAGCAAGCACATTGAATCTCGAAAGCTTTACTAGTCTTATTACAGGTATGCAAATACTAACAATGATGAGATTTGATACATTTTGAAGGTCTTAGGACTTAAGCACATAAAATTGAATGTGTGGGTCATTACGCACGACTTACGTGCAATGTGACCTCAGGTAACCCGCTATGGAACACATGTTCCATGGCCAACGGCAGATGGAACAGGCCATTCTTTAGATAGAACATGGAACGGGTATAGCACTTTTGGCCCTTTTTTTGCTGAAAATAGCCATTAAAGTCCCCCAAATGAGTCATTTGGAAGTGGTGTATGCCAAATATGTGACTGCTATTCTGAAGACACATCTTCAAGGTACCTTTATACCGAATTTCAGATCATTTGGTTGTAAAACCAGGGCTCAGGATCCAAAAATCCATTTTTTGGCGAAAAATGCCCCAAAAAACCTTCATAAAAATTTTTCAAAGGCATGTATCAAAAAAATGAAAAAAACGCCTGGGGGTATTCGCCCACTCTACCTCCATGCCAAATTTCAAGTCATTTGGCTGAATGATGGCGGAGTTGAATCCCTTTGAGTGTTTGGCAGGAGGAGAAGGAGAAGAAACATCAGAGAACACAATATATTTCATCCATACCATGGTATGGACTGAAATATAAATATAACCTCCATGACACATTTCATGGAGGTAATAAATGAGGGGTGGACAAATGGACAAAATAATTCCAATAACTTTTGCTTGAAAGACAACATGTTTGGATAACCCTGTCCTCCTATTGACTATTGGCACAGTTGCAAATCATAATGCTGTACTTGCTATTTCCTTACATTCTTTGACGCTGGTGTGTTACGCTGAAGGGCGGTTATACCGGCTGTACCGATACAGATACAGATCATGTAGCTGGCAGACCGAACACCTTTAACATAGAAGTAGAAGAAAAACTGAGAAGAAAAGAGTCCCCAGACATACCTCCATCCCTGACGCGGCCTTGTCGAACTCTCTCTGTAGGGTCAGTCTGGTGGGGTCATGACCTTGGGGCTCCTGCTTGACCTTGAAGTTGGGCCCCCCCAGCAGCAGGGGGGAGACGTCCGAGTCCACCTGGGTGAGAGGTTCTTCCTTGATCTTCAGGACCAGTGGGCTCTGTAGGGCCGGGGAGACTACAAAGGAAGCGTGGGGTGCTGGAAGGAATGGGTGTCAAAAAACTGTTAAACAATCATACATCTATTAAAACTAAGTTGAAAAAATACAAAACAATTACGATCAACAGTTCTTATCATTATACAGCTTAATTGCTCTGGGAAAGAACAACTGTTCATGTCTCATAGTATGGCTTTGTCAAGTCAAAGCGTGTATAGGACTCTAACTTGCTGGAGGTCATAGCCACTATGTAACGTCCTAACCCTAGTCCTTATGCGTACCTTTCACCAGTGGCTGTATCTCCTGTGATGTGAGTACCCTCCTCGGGTGACAGGACTCCCCTCCCTCTCCTGCCCCACCCTGTACGTTATCCCCGAACAGGAGCGGAGACTCACAGGTGGTGTTAGTGTTGACAGGACAGGCAGGTCTGCCGAAGGTGGGGGAGACAGGCGGGGAGGGGACTGCTTCTGGACTGTCTGGCTCAGACACAACCCGCTGGATTACGTTATAAAATACAAGAAAATTGTTACTGGTACTCAGGATTACACAGGAGCACAAGATTTGTCCAGTTGCTCGAGTAACAATTTTCTTGTGTATCTCATTACTTGGATGTCTAACCTTTATCCACATATTAAGTACATGTACACATACAAGCAACCTGTAAACTTGGAAACTAGATTATCATATAGAGTGACTTGAAAATTGATCCTTAATAACCAAATTACTATGTACATAAATGGACATAAATCTAAAAAAACACTAAAGTTGCTATACAAACTGGTGAATCAAGGGCAGGCTTTTTACATATCTCCTATCTTGTTTCTGTATGCTGTGTCTATAATAAAAAAGGTGTTTTTGTTTTGCGTCATGTATAACATTTTAGGTTGAAGAGCTTTGAGATGCTTTGAGTTTTTTTACAAACCCACCTTCTGCTGTGGTTGTTCAACAGCTGAACCCTTAGTCTGCCTGTTCACTTGTTGCTGATTGGTCACGACTTTCATAGCTAGTTTCTGATTGGCCAGAGTTCTCCTAGCTGGTTTCTGATTGGCCAGGGTGCCAGGTTTTCCAGGATGATTGACAGGTGTGCTGGAGCAGCTGGGAGGAGACATCAGCATCCTGGTCTCATCCATGTCGTCCTCCATGGCCATGGTCTCTGGGATCATCGTGATGGGATCACACGCTGGATCACCACTGGAATCCTCCTGTATCCTTTCCTCTGCAGGGGTTTTTCAAGAAAAATTAAGCAGGGGAGTAGATCACTAGATGATAAGGGAGTGAAGCAAATTTTTACAAGAGTAACACAGTTTGTAATGCTAGAAGAATGCATTGTTATGATGTTTTGTTTTTATATTTTTACTGGAAAAAGATCATTTTGAGAAAGACTTGAAAATGTTGTGTACTAGTATGTAGCCACTTAGGGTTCAATCTGAAAATTGATATGAGGGTGCTGGCTGGTTACATGAGGGAGGGAGCAGCACCCTTATTCCCCAATTTAGAAAAACCTGTGCTCTGCATTGGAACTTTCTGTCCAACGATTAGCTTTGTGATTTTTACCTTTTCTACTTTCCTTTTCTTCTGTACTGGTCTCCTGTCCTGTCTGTGGTGAATTCTGTTGTTCATCGCTCTCTGTAGAGGCATTCACGGCTAAGGTGTCAGGCACAAGTATCCTGCTCATCTTCATCTGCTGAGTAAACTCTCCCTGAGTCTCCGCCAACACAAGGTGCTTCTTCTGTCCAATTTTCAATGTCTTCCCCTCCTTCCCATCGGGAGAAGTCTTGACGTTCTCCTTGTAGCGGACTCTCTTGTTCTGACGGTGCAGGCGTGTCACTGCCTGCTTTGTTGTGGCGTTTGTCTCTGAGTCTGAGCCAGGAACGGTCTGTCCTTCCTGCTCCAGGCTCATCACGGGAACATCGTTGTCGCTGCAGGTGTCTTCAACCTTTGCAGAAAGCTCTTTTGTCTTCTCATTCCTGTTCTGTACGTGGAGATGCTTGTGAGATGGCTGGAGGTTTAGAAGCTCAGACAGCCTGTTTTGGAGAGTTTTCATTTGTGCTTCTGAAATAGGACAACAGTAGACAAAGTTACATGTATGTACTTATTGGTCATCTTAATCCCTCTTTTAGATTTGACATAATAATAATAACAGTAAATTATGTTATGCAACTGATAAGTTAACATATCAACCATGATAGAATGCAACAGTCTTATACTTGGAGTACAGGTCTGATCAACTTTGGAACTAATGGAGTTTCATCAGCCTAAACAGGATTTTTTAGCTCACACCTCATTCGCTCACTAACAGGTTTGGCGTCTGTTGTTCCCCACTTCAGACTTCAGAGGGTTAGACATGCTTGCACAGCAATACAGCGGCTTCATGGCAGCCCGCAATTTGCCTCTATCCAATATGATGTAAAGATAGAAACTTCATCCTTCAGACTTCTTCATGTATAAGGATGGCACCATACCCTGTGACCTGACGTACTGCTCCCGCTCCAGTCTGACGGATTTCAGCTCTTCCTCCTTCTGGTCTAGCACTCTCTGGAGAGTCATACAGTTCTTGCAGGCATCTGTGCTTCCACTGAAATAAATGCAGCAACAACAGGAATTTAAGATATGTCATGGAAGTTCATCTGTGCTGGTAGTAATCATAGTACAATGCTAAACTTTATTTCAAAACAGGATCAAATTAAGATATGTCGATGTACGTTGGACATCCAGGTAATCAGGTACACATGAAAACTGTTACTCAAGCAACTGGATATAAAATCTATCCAGTATCTTGAGTAACAGTTTCCTTGTGTAGGAATTGTTATATTTTCCTGACAGACTTTCTTAACACCTGGCCTTAAACTTCGCAGGTCTTGTTCTCAAAGGTGAATTTCTACCTCTATTGCTCTATTTCTACCTCACTCAAAGCAAAATAGCTCACATGAACAAAGACTGAAAAAGTATCTGTACCCGGTACTACAGTACTACATTTGTAGTAGCAACAGTTGTGGAACAGTGGATGAAGCCCCAAAACGTGGGCTCAAGATAAGTCCTTGCACTGTTGCAGTTCGTTCCATTAACACTTTTACTTATATTAAGCATCACCTGGTTCTTAGGCTCGTTAGCTGCTCCTGGAGTCTCTGGTTTTCTGTCTTCAGATTCTTTATTGCACCGAGAGCTTTCTTCAACTCTGTGTAGTAGCTGGGAAGAAAGAAAAGACAAGGCAGTGATAGAAAGTTCCTACCCCTATCAATGGTAGGAAATGAAAATGAGAAAAAACTTCAATCCAACTTGCTACATGTAGTTTATTAATAGCAGGAAGAACCTTACTGTTTCCGACTCCTGTCCAGTTCTTGACACCTCTGTTGAAATCCTAAACAAAGACGGAATAGTAAATTATTTGGGTTACCATAGTCAGTTCGTTTGGTGGGTGTAAAGACGAATTCAGAGATTTTGAAAGGTTTCATTGAGCCAAATGGGCAGAATGCATCTTTGAATCCAGCTAAACAGCACATCAGCAGAAGGTACCGTATTACCGTAATGTATTGTGTATAGCACTTCTGCAGAACCTCTTGTTTAAGGTCGTATTCACGTATCTAAGGATGACAACCTGTCTATAGTTTTCAAATGTTGTGTCAGAAAAGACATTGTCTGCAACAGGCAAAATCCTGATGCAATGTTGACCAAACTTCCAATGAAAACTGCAAAAATTCAGAGTTTCCCACAGGGAAAGCATGCATTAAAGTGTATACCAGTAGCTAAACATGCCATAACTTAGCCGTGGCGTCTCTTGATTCGGGCTTACATTGCAAATTACCCTCAGCAAGAGTCGTGGAAAGATCCATTGGCAGAACTGCACATTTCCCGTTGGCTGCCCGATGCTCCGTTTTTGCCCCGTTTTTTTTCTGTCCCGAGCTTCCCTACAGTATAAAACCACAATTGGCCGGGTTGCCAATGTTCAGATTGGCCTAAATATTCCACAGCGCGACAGTTTGTAACGTTACACCGGTGTTTTTCCATCCGGGCGGCCATCTTGTATATAGTCGGGAATGTCCACTACCGCCGTCGGGAACGTTCGGGAGGCTTTCCGGTTATGATCGGAGCGCTTTCAGTCCCGTCTCGGTAATCGTCACACTACCGAATCAAGAGTCGCCACGGCTAGCCATAACTAGTGAACAGGTGATATGATGTTACATGAGATACCCAGTTTACCTGTGATGTGGTGCTGGTGTGTCTGGTTCAGCTCCATCAGCAGCTGGGTGAACTTGGCCCCCAGGTCTGAGTGACCAGGCAGGTCAGGGACAGGCTCCAGACCGGACAGGGACGGTCCTGACATGACTGCCGGGGTCGGACTGGGCTCACCAGAGCTAGGAGAAATCCCAGGCTCCCTAAATCATATACATGACGAAAATGTTCAATTATATGATCAAACTGCACTTCTACTTCTATTCAAAACACCAGGCAGCCTAGAACATGCATCAAGTTTTGGAGTATGTATGGTTCCCTATTAAATCTCGAAGCAGATCCTACAGTGGCAAAAGAAGGTCCATACTATACTGCCTGGCCAAATTATGATTTTGATCTTTGCAAAAGACCACAACATATACACCACAATATATATATACATTTACATATACATTTACATTATACATTTGCGACCACCCCCACCAAAAACCCCTACCAAAAACCCCTACCCCCACCGTGCTGCAGCCCTCAAACTAGTGAGGTTAGCGCGAAAAGGGAAGAAGAAGAAGAAGAAAACTGAAAAGACCAAAATCATATTTTGCCACCCTAGGAATACTAGGATCTGTTTTGAGATTAATGGTTCCCTTCCAATTTCGGCTGCAACCCAGACTTGTACTAGTTATAGAGCTCTTGTGTGAATGAATGAATTTTCTTTGGTTTCAGGTAGCCAACACTGTTTGAAACTGTAAGGGTTTGATACACTCACAACGCAAAAATGGGAAGGACCACAGTGTCTACTCTTTCGTCAGTGTGTTGGGTTGGCGACAGCCCGTGAGTGACACCATTCAGTCTGCCCAGGGTTGGAACATCGTGCTTTGAAATGAAACCTGAATACTCACGAGTGAAGTTATGGCCGTAGAGTTCTCTAAGATGTCGTAGTTGGCACTTTTGAGGTGTATTCTTACAACAAGTTACACAATCGCAAAAATCGAAAAGCGCGCCATCTTTTGTTTTCTCACATGCACCACATCTTAATGTACTGAAAATACTAAAGGTTCAATTTGTAATTGTTGCTGTACGGCGCTTTTCTCTCACTACAGTAGTAATGCAAATACTACTACATAACTTAGATTACATTCAAGTTCAATCTATTGTTATCTACAGTTGATAAGAAACAACGTGAGGTATCAAAAATTTATTCCAGTTTGATTTGATGCGGTTAAAGCTGGGCTACTAGTCACGAGCGCCCTCTTGCAATATGGTATTGAAGTACAGCCAGGCTATGAAATGAAAGGTAAAGACTATTTCTTCCCCAATAATCTCGTAAAGATTTTCCGACATTAGTTATTCTGTTGTCCAGTACCGGCTCCACCTACCAGATTTGTCAAGAGGCTCTGTAACATATCGATATCAAAAGTGTTCATCATCATCATCATATTGTAACCTTCCTATATAACCACCTTGGTCATAAAAACAGTGCAATTTGAGCATAACGTTACACATAATCATAATCAAACACCACTTTAATAATAATCAATTATTTCAGCCCATCACATCCAATAATTATAAATACTAGTATACATTGTCACCAATCAGTGATACATGTAGCATCATAAAATAGCAGAAATGTTCCACAAAAGACATTGTGCAATCGAGCTGAGGTCATGTATTGGAAACCTAGTAATGCTGAGGTCACATTTCCAAACCGGGGCCCGGCCGGGCTGTTTCGATTAACGATAAATCAACAATTTATATCATTAATATACTTAAATAGTTCCCGTTATCAATTTTCTCAACTGCTCTTTGCTTTGTTGTCTATTATATCATACTTTTCGTTCCATAAGAGCCATAAGACTGCCCGGCCGGGCCCCGGTTTGGAATTGGGACCTCAGCATAAGTGACGGCATTGAAAACTTCTGACATTTTGCATTGTACTTTGCCTTTATGTAAAATGACTATTTTACTTTCTTATCTGTAGCTAATTATATCATATTTACCCTGAGGACATCATTTCCCTGCTGAAGCTTATGCAAAAATATGTTAAGTGATACTTCAACAAATGTTGATAACTATGATATACATATAACAAGTATGACTGTAAGTCAACACACCATGCCCAACTGTACATAATAAAATACTAAGTATCATGGCTTGTGCAACAAGACAATGGCTGATGTGTCACTTGTGGCAACCTTAAGGTAAACTGGCAGCATTTCAAACGTTAAGTAGGTAAGCTTTTCACTGATGTTTTCTTATATATTATCTATCTATATCTGTCTGTCTCTATCTTTCTGTCATGATCCTGAACTCAATGAATGTAATACAGAAATAGTATTACACTAAAGGCTGTTGTAGATTCTAAAATGAAACTAAATAGTAATAACAACACATTCTGAGTTTGTAAAAACAACTTGAAATGTGACTTCAAATAAGAAGTAAAGGTAAAATAAGGTGACCATCCTCTCTTGATGATGCTTTTTCTACTGTACTAGTGCAATTTGCATTTGCCACAGCTCCTGTTTTCAGCTAAGTATATCACTTGCTTAATTAGGTCACCCCTCCTTTGCTGGGATGTCCAAACATCAGCTCCAAACAAAAAGTGGACAAGGCCCTTGAAATCTTCATTAGTGTCAAGCCAAACCCAGAGGTCACCTTTTCTCTTATTGGTAAGTACTAGTGTATAAGAGGAGAGGTTTCATGCACCTATATAATAACACTTTATGGTCCACAAAGTAATTTCTTAACTACTAGTAGCAGCAGCAACAACAGAGACCACTCTCCAACTTAAGTTGTATTAAAAGTAGCAGCTAGCAGCCAGCAGAAAAAAAAGTGAAGCACTACAATTGATCACACCAGCACAACCACCACAAAACACCCTTCTCTGCTGATCAACTAGTCTTTGTCTTGTCTTCCCAAGTAAAAATCCATTTTCAGGATGAGAAACAAGCAGGAACATGCAGGCTTGTTGCTGTTTTAGAAGAAGTCATGGTTGCCGACCCTTCTGGCTTCACTCCCGTTGCCTACTAGTGTGGAGAGGACCTGGACCTGGCTCTTGAACTCGTCAATGTTGATATAGCAGCCCTGGAGGGAAAACAACAGAAATCTTCACATAACTTTGTCTGAAAGTACCAATAAAACAAGAGCCAATAAAACATTTCCTTACAAGGTAGCTTCAAATGTCACAAACAAAGCCTCAGAAATTGAAGGCAGAAATTATTTTAAGTCTTTTAAGTCAAACTTTTACATGTTCCCTACATGTATTCCAACTATGAAATAAAGGGTCACAGAACTTTAAATTTGGTCATGGTACAGTTGCTCAGCAATCACTATCTAGAGGAAAGGTGTGTACCTGCAGGTGTCTGATAGTTCCAGGTGCCAGCGTGAAGGCTCTCCGTGAGTGCAGCATGCGCCGGTTGTTGAAGATTATGCAGTCTCCAGCTTCCAAACGTCTCTCCTTCTAGAAGTGAACACAGATATTACATCTGTACTCATGAGTCATATACTTAGTAAATATGCTCTAAGTTGGGATGGTCTCTACTATCCCCTAGAGATGACGTGTAACAATTTAATTTCCACACAAAGACACAAACCTTTAGTGGAGAGTCCTGCATGGCTTGTAGAAACCTCCTGTAGGCCTTGTAGTATGCCTCCACATCATCCTAAACAAAAACAATTACATTTGTACAGCTTAGTCAAATCTGTAATTGCAATAACCCTGTCTTTAATGACCTTGTCCCTCCCAACAACCTGGTCAGTCAAGGGACTAGGTAGGTAGGTAGGTACCTGGTAGGTTATATCTAGTCATACTGAACACTGAACAACATTTGAACACTACATGCAGCAACAAATATTTTAGTTTTTCGTTTAGGGCATGACAATGATCTCACCTCTGGCACTGACAGGGGACCCTCAAACTGTGGAGCCCAGTTCACAGCTATCACCTAATTCAGTAGGAGGGAGGAGGACAGAAGTGTTATAATCATACCGGTAACATAAAAGGCACATACTTCAACTGGTACTTCAAACGAAATATACTGTAGTACATGTACGTTATAGGACATAATTGTTCTCATGCTGCAAACTGTACCTGTCATCTGATTCTAGTAGGTATTTCATTCTGAATTGTACATACAAAAGTACATGTATAACTGGGCTTCCCTTTTAATGTAACTTTCACACTCACTCACTGTCCGGTTTATCGTCTACTTCAAATTCCTACTCCATTAATTGGAAGAAGAGAAAGAATTAGATGCAAGAAAGAAAGAAATAAGAAAGAAACTGTGAGGATATTAGACAGAATACATGTACATACCTCCTTATCTGGATTGAGGACTATGTGGGGTCTTTGGTACCTCATGCAAACTGGGTATTCTCTGGAAATGGTTAGAGTATTATTCAACTTTGGTATTCAACAAGGAGAAGAATTTTCCATTGGGACTTATTGATACTTTATACCCATTAGCTTCTGCTAGTATTACTGCCAAAAGAAGCAGTGGAGTGCTCATTCCTTTACAAAAACTGGAGTTATACAGTCAAAAATTTGAGTCCATTTTCTTGTGTTGGAAATTACAGTTTAAACCTTGGGTTAAACTTCTTCATATTGCATTTTCTCTTTTTAGTGACACCTTGCTACCATATTGGGTGATTACCTGTCGAAGTGAATTTTGTGGAAGGTTGCAGGCACTCGCACCAGCGTGTCAAAGTCGTCAGGATAATGCACTCTGAGATGTTCCACCACAGGGAACACATCCAGTAGTACACTCTCCCCTCCTGACACCTCCGGATCAAACCTGCAAGGTGGGGTTGAAATCAGGATACCAGCTCATACTAGTACTGGTAGTTATTACTCAAATCCTGCATACTGCTATGTACTACTACGCCTAGTCCACAACATCAGCACAATGTACTGCACCTGCACAAAAGCTTGCATGTTTCACAGTTTTTGTTGGAAGTTTGGTCAACGCTGCATCAGAATGTTGCCCATTGCAAACAATATCTTTAATGACACAACATTTGAAAACTATAGATAGGATGTCATCCTTAAGTATGCAAATATGACCTTAAACAATATGTACTGCTTAAGTGATACACATAATACATGGCGGGTTTCGCGCAGGTGCAGAATGATGTTTGTCTGGGCTCTGAAGGACAGTACCTGACACAGTGGAGCAGCTGCAGCCCAGGTGGAGACTCGTAGTACATCAGATCCATGTGGAACTCCAGCCCAACGTTGGAGTATGCAGCGTTGATGGGCTTCTCTGTGGACACCACATCAAACACCTGGGGAATAACACAAGATGTGAGTCACATCTCTACCGTATACATCTCACCTCACATGTTATTTGGGCAATTCTTTACAATGCTATTTTCACTTCCACAGGCAAATAGTGTATTAAAAAAAAAAAATTATACAGTCACCATATGCATATACACTAGTATTGGTAGTTAGAATACATACATTGCCTATAGGGCTTGAAATACAGGTAATTTTCTTTAGAAAGAAAACATGATTGGTTTTTCCTCACATTTTATTTTGTATGGTGCACCTACGGTGCAGTTTTGTGCACCCGATTTTTTAGGTTGGGTGCACCAGTGCACCTATTTCCGAAAATGAATTTCAAGCCCTGGCCTACTTATTGTCTTACCAATTTTACAAATGTTAATACCATACATATTTTTTGGGAAAGGTCAGATATAACTCACATTTCCATAAATAGACTGCTGTACTGGGGCAATGAGCTCTCCAACCTGAAAAAAACAACAAGAAAAATATTTGTCAGGAATATAATTAAAGATTGATAATAAGTAGTCAACAGACTAAACACCCATGGCTTAAAATCATTGAATTTTTAAAATTTCAAAGAAGGCCTTTTCACTACGTTAGTGCGATAAAAATTTCATAAAAGTTTTGGCGTAATACACGTATTCACCTTTGCCACAGTTCCCAATTCTGTAGGAACGTCTCTGACAAGTGAGACTCCATAGTCACTGATGTCCTGCATCCACCTGGGCAGATACAAAAAAAAAAACACTTTGAATAATTATAAAGAGACTCTTTTTGCGCAACCAAGTGTTTTATTCAGGTAAAGTTTCAGTGACCGTCTGTCACCTTCCTCAGGGCAAATCTGACCGGTTCACATTGTGTTGCTGCTTACAGCTGCTCATAGAAATACTTCATTTACTGTCTAATGTTAATCAACTACAAAATGATGGGTGATCAAACTGACAGACCAGACCCAAACACTGTAGCACCAGACATTACCTGAGTAAAACTGACTTGTTCCCAGTCAACAGCTTTTCATAGGAGATTTCAGGAAACCCGTTCTGTGGTAGAAAAAAATGTAGAGGGATGAAATATACCTGAAATATACCTTAAGTAGAGGGAAGATTAGCTTGGGTGCCAAACGCTGGCACTCATAAGCAATAAATTTTTTGGGGGGGAGAAGCCCTAATGTCTGCTACAGTATTGGCCGCCTAAACCCAGGCTGCCCAAAACCCTTCATCTTTCATGGTAGTGAAGAGATAATTAGAGCCAGGGTGCCAATCGGGGTTTGCGGGCGTATGGTTTCCCTGGCCAAAGGGATTATCACTCCTTCGCGGTGGGGACTGGCACCCAGGCTAAGGGAAGATTGGTGTACACAGGCACAAGTCTAAAGGTGCATGCTAGAAGTGCAAACAACCATATGAACATTAGGATACAGTCAAACCTGTACAAGTGACCACCTCTATATTAAGATCACCTGGCCAATGTGATCACACATACGAGATTTCATTCGCCCCATGAGTGTTTTTCTTGGGCAATTTTGACTGTACAAGTTTACAAGGTATTGATAAAGCCGGCGTAGGAAAACATAAATAGGGTCTTAAACCTCCTTGATCTAAGATTCTTTCAAACTTGTTGAATGCATACCCAAAACAGACAGTATTTCCACACCTGGTGTACTAGTGGCCTTCTGTTTTCTGCCCGCTGTCTTCTATGTTCCTGTGAGTAAGAGTTCTTCCACAGCCAGCCCAGTGGTAACACTGCTACATGGTCAGGCTCCCCTGCAAACACCAGGTGCAGGGCACGGTCCTCATCTGTAAACCAGACATAAAAAGACATTGGAAGAACTTTAGATTTCATTTATTAGCTAATGTTTAATAGTGTATTGGACATTGCAACACTACAGTGTCAGTTAAGACCATGGTAACAGGTAAACACTGAGCTGACATAGCCTTAGCAAACATCTACAAGTATATTGTACATAAGTAAAGAGAACTAAAGTCAAATTAATCAAAACAAAGTACAAAATGCATTGCATCACCACATTGGCATATGCAGGCTATAGGATAGTATATATATAGTATTTTTCCCAAAAAAATACAGAAGATTTCAGCATAAAGAATACCCAGTAGTTCTCACCATCTACCCATGCCTTGCTGACCTCCTGTGTGTCTGGCAGAGACAGGGGGTTGAGCAGTCGCTGCCCGCTGTGGTCCTGCTTACACTGGAGACAGTGGCAGTGGTACCTCAGCCACGTGCTACTGTACCTGCACAGGACATATAAAAGCAATCCTTTGGTCTAGTTCCAACCCTGTAGAGTACTTTTATATGACGCCACTTTACCGGTATACCTTAGTTTTTATGTACATGTAGTATTTAGTAGATTTAAGGTGGTTCTGTGAGTGACCATACAGCTATTAAGTTGAGCATCACATTGTCTTTCTTTCTTTCTTTCTTCACTGGCTTACTTAAACTTCCTTATGAAGAACATGTTACAAGCCAGACAGTTGTAACATTGAAAGACAGTTCAGGGCTGCAATAAAAGAGTACCTGGACTATCTTGATACAATACAAAACCTTATGGTCATCCGTTCATCAGAATGACAAGTTAATGAATAAAGAGACTCTTTTTACACAATCGTCTTATTCAGCAGTGCTATGCAATGTGGACAGTCAGATTTGCCCTGAGAAATGCGACAGACAGTCATGCGCACCAAAACTTCGGTTGAATAAACCAGAGGTTTGTGTAAAAAGAGGCTATTTATTCAAGACCTGGTGGTGCTCTCCAGCGAGTCGTCCCACTGCACCTGCACCTGCGCACCACCTGCCTGCACAGACACCTGCAGCTGCGCCCTCAGCACCTCCCAGGACGCCTCCAGCTTCTGGCAGCAGAAGAAAAAAAATCATGTTAGTTGACCGATTAATGACGTCACATCTCCTTAAAGTCTTGTGAGAATATGATCACATGTCTGTAACTCTCGCAGATTCACCTCCCAGGACGCCTCCAGCTTCTGGCAGCAAAAGAAAACAACACACACTGAACATGGAATATCATTTACTTGTATTAAAGCTCTACCTATGAATGAGTCAAGAGGATACTGCAATAGTCTTCATATTGGTGACTAGAACAAGGACCTATCTCCACCATATCTCTTCCCCACTCCCCCTCCCCTTGTTAGCTTTACAGTTTGTCTACGTTGAATTTATTGAAGCAATGAAGCTACAGTAAAGTCGAAAGTTACAGTTTATTCCTACTATACCAAAACTTGTTGGTCTTCTTCACCAACTCATTTTTCTGATAAAGATGTTAGTTCTGGACAAAACTTGACAACCTGCGACCGTATCAACACTACCAGCAATATTGTCAGCTAGATATAACTGCAGAACTTACACTGCCTCGTGCAGCAGAACACAGGAAGCCTCTTGTTTGCTGCCACCTCACTGGGGATGAAAATGTTCGCTTTCCAACTGTAGATACAATAAAGGCACAAAGGCATTAGAGATGAAATCAAGACTGTACAAAATTAGTTCTTCTAATGTCAATTTTTCTCAAAGCTGTTGACATGCGGTATGGCCCTTTTTTCACATCCAATGGCAAGTTCTACGTGCTCAATAATGTGGCAGAGACTGTCATTCTCGTATAGGACTGTTCAGCTATAGCCAAAGCCGTCTACCACGGTCAATATGGTATTGACTGAACCAGGCCATATAGCAGGCTCCATATAGTTGCAACAAAAGTTATATAGTAGTTTCTCCAACAGTGACAACTTTTCCAGAATTCTTTCAAAGACGGACTTACCGTAATTGACCTTGGAAGATGCTGAGGACATTGCCCTGGTCGTACTGTTGGGATCCAGCCTTGCCAACCTGGGCAGTCTCCCCTCCATAGCTGCCTGACATGTTCTCCTCACAGCTCCCAGCCATGCCATGGTGTCTGCAGGGCAATTAGGAAATGTACGCTTATACCAAAGAGCACAAGTTTTAATACTACACCTTGCTTTGCAATTGCGACTGGAACTGGAAAAGGTCAACGTGGCACTTTTAATAACAAGCTTTGCAAGGTCGTCACTTATTAACAATGCATATTTGGCACTGTTCCAATTACGCTAGGTGTGTTTCGCGATTCGCTGGAATGCTGTTATACTAGTTATCACAACTATAAAGATTAAGATTTAGGATAAGACAACACACCAAGGACGCACTCAGCAGCACAACTCATCAAAAGAACATGTAAATGACTTTATATACCTAGCATCTTAATAAATCAACAAATCTGTACGTGACCACCAGGAAATTCACAAACTGAACAATGAACACAGAGAGGTGTTGAAAACATGTTTGTCCTAAAAGTGGGATGAAGATGAGAAAATTATAGTAACAGATAGCCGGGGGCGTGACCACTAGTAAATAGGACACATCGCTATTCTCCAGAAAAATGTGGAGTAGAAACTAAACATCACATGAAAGGGTAATACATCTATATAGCCATACCGAGAAGTATAAACCTGTAAAATGTTCCTGTACAAATTATCCTCGTCAGGTCATTTTTGTGTTAGATTTCTCCCGCTGCAACATATTGACCTGCTAACCTCTGACCTTCCACTCTTCGTAAAAATAAATAAATAAAAAATCTAATCGCTTAACGGTTACATGTCTTATCCATAATTTTGTTTCAATAAAAATATTAAGTTATCGTCACAAATGATACCAGGGAGACGTAATTAATATATTTTTTCCTCTTCCCGCCATTTCTCAAACTTTGCTCTTTGACCCCACTAGATAGAGTCCACAACGTCACGACTGAGGGAGGGAAAACGATCAGATGCTGCGATTGTTTTAATAATTCGTAGGAAATCATAATTTTCGCAGTTCTTTAATGATCGCAGAGACAAAGAGGATAAGCCCAAGGTTGTGTTCTACCCCCAGAGAAAGGTAAGAAAGACGATTTGGGGCATTAACGTCGTAATTTCCGCCCCAGGTCGTATGTCATAAAAACAGCCATGTTTTTTCTTCAGAATTTGTAATAAAACGTTGTGTAATTCATTAGCTTCTTCAGAAAATTAGGCTTTCCCCCGATCTACGTTGTTCGTGATTAAACCGAGAACATTAATTGACACAAATTACGCAAAATTGTTGAGCATTATCCACTTGTTCACTATGGTACAACCCAGCTGTTCCTGGGCTCGAAATACCTTATAAGTTACCTTTATACTTTTGTCTGCTTACGGTAGAATCTAGGAGGAATGTAGGAGGTATGGATCACACTGAAAACGGTCCATGTGGCCCAAGGGCTATTGAACCGGAGATAGGCGCTGCCCTTTGCACCACCTGGTGAAGGAAGGACTTAACTAATAAAAGTCACCAAACACAACATCACTTTACTAGTATCTGCAGTAGCTGTCAAGTCTGTCAGATAGCCTTATGCTGTTTGCTTACATACCTGAATAAAGAGACTCTTTTTACGCGTTTGCTGTGCAACTTGAACCAGTCAGATTTGCTCTGAGGAAGGTGACAGATGGTCCCTGAAACGTCGGCTGAATAAACCTCTTAATCTTATAGATACTGGATCAAGACCCTCTCGGGTATAATGTCCAGGTGAGATCTTGGTGCACAGCTAAGTACGGCCGGTGGTGGAGGTGCTCGTAACTCTTGGTTGTGTAAAATTTTACTAAAAAGAGTTCCTTTATTCAGTGACTGATGAAATTATTCACGATATTTGCTTGCATGTTTTCTGCAGCCATGGACAGTGAGGTGCAGCGTGACGGCCGCCTGCTGGACATAGTTGACCAGGACTGGCGAGATGACCAGCTGCCCATGGACGACATCGACGTGCCACAGATGGAGCTACCTGACCCAGAGCAGGAACAGGTGTGGTTTCTAGCTTGCCCTACAAAAGTCACCAAACACAACACAATATACTAGTACTATAGTATAGTGGAACTCACTGCTACCAAGTAGAGTTGTGGCAGTCTCCTTGAAGTAACTTTAAAAGTCTGACTGTGACCTCCTTCATACTGCAAGCAGAAGCTTTTGAATTGTATCACTTTAAACGCCCCCCCCCCAAAAAAAAAAAAACACTGACTGCAATGTTTGCATGCCTGCAAAGGAGGCTAGTACCACGTACTTGGATAAAAGATGTAAGAATCAGTCATTTCATAGTCAATCTTGTTTCTGCCATTGTGAAGACATTGCATTTGAATATATTTTACAGAGCTTTGTGGGAGCATGCCAAGTTGGTAAAAAGTTTCATCATTTCATCTTGTCATACCATAGATACCAAATATTGAACAGGAAAACACAGTCGCTATGATGCTTTGTGTATTTTGAAGTGTTACGTTTAACAGTAGGACTGTCTTGTTTCACCTGGCAGGACAACGGAGGCCCAACTGAATCGCTGAAGGAACAGGAGCAGAAGTGGACAGACCTCGCCCTGCAACTGCTACACGAGAACCCCTCCACCAACAACACGGAAAACCCGTCTCGTTAACTTTGGACAATTAGCCTGTTCCTTATAGTTTTTCTTGTGCAATCTTGCATGTTTTTTTGTTGTATAAGTACAACAACTTTTCTATTAACCTCTTGGAATCCCATTGCTGTGTATATGTAGCTGACAGTTTCTGAAATACAGCATTGTGTGTTCTCCATATTTTAAAAGAGACTGTCAACATTCTGCAGACTATTAAGCCAAGCCTTTTTGTCAGCATAAAGAAAGACAGCCAGGGAGGGAGCAAGTAAAGTGTACTGCCACAGACTGTACGTATACAGACCACTACAATGGAGTACTGCCCAGATGCAGTTCCGCTGTATCTACACAGGGTGGGGAACGAAGTGGAAAATGTTCAAAGCTCAGGTTCAGTGATCACCATCCCTGCAGGCAGCTATCTTGCCATCCCCATGTCAGCTCCGTTCTATGGCACCCTTCCTGGCGGGATCCTGCCACCCTCCACGGGAGATGGGTACTTCAGCAAAGGGGATGCGTTTCCAGAAAAGAAGACCCACCGTAAAGTATTTGTCATGGACCCTCAGGACACGTGCCATCTTAAGATAGAATCAGTCTGGTCTCTTGCAGAGGGTGGTCAGAACAACTCTGAGGAATACACGAAGGCAACTGAAGCCCATACAAGTAAGGTAGGACTACCTCATTCTACAGGTGTCTCGGAAACCTCAACAGATGTTGCCTGTAGTGACAAACAGTCCCGAAAGCTGACTACTGGAAACAGAAGTCAGACTGCAGAGGTTTCCACCAAACTTCATGACGCATGCAATACTGGTACAACATCTTCCATCTTGGCTGAGACCAATGTTTCAAAGGAGGCAGAAACCCAGACATCTCTTCCCTCGAGCGCATTCCAGCCAGCTTCTTGCACACAGAGCCTGACCTTCATGTGTTGTAGGCACGAGTTTTCATCAGAGGAGCTGTTCTTTGCACATCTCAAAGAGGTTCACAGTGAAGGGTTTGTCGCTGGATCAGACTTAGAAGGCACCCTGCCACAGTCCTTCACGTGTGAGGCATGTGGTCAGGTCTTCTCAGAAGAAAGGCTCTACAACCTCCATGACCAGATTGTGAAAATCTCAAGCTCTCAACTGAAAGACATTCTTAACATCATCTTAGAGGGACAAGGTGTTAGCAGAAAGGCGTCTTTTGCTGGTGAGGAATCATCTAAAAAGAGGGTTCAGCCACCAAAGGGCTCCTATGACTGTTACCTCTGCACAGCTGGGAAAACGAAAACTTATTACTTGTACTCTGCATTTTCAAGGCACCTAGAAAACATTCACAAAGTGCCACCCCTCAATGAACAAGGAAACCCTCAGTGTCAAGTATGTGTGGAAGAATTTCCAGACACCAGCGCTCTCTATGAACACATAGAACACCACCATGTCCGGAAAGCTACAAATGTGTTCAACGAGTGCGTGGAGAATGTCAGAAGCAGAAAAGAATCGGGGCTAGAGATGAAGTGCGTCTTCTGCCAAAGGTTGTTCACAAAGGAAAGGGTGTACTTTGTACACTTGAAAGGACACTTTGTCAAGAAAGAGATCACGAGTAACAGGAAGAGACGCTGGAAGTTGGCAGAGGTTGCAGGACAACCAGAAACTCTTCCCACAGATGTTGTAAATCAACCTGAAACTCTTCCCACAGATAGCTGTAAGGCTGATGAAGATGTTAAAACTGAAGAAGACTCAGCTGAAGTAAAGGATGAGTCTGAGAAGGAAGTAGTTTCCAGCCAGAGTCAAGAAAGGCATAAGGAGAAGAAGAAGAAAAAGAAATCCAAAGAGAAGAAAAAACTGCTCACTGGGAAAAAGGAAAGCTCTGTCTCAGAGCCTAACATAGAAGGTGTTCCTGCAGAAAAAGAGATGAAAGAAAGAATAAGTAAGAAGCTGAAGAAGAAGAAAAGGAAACATGAAGCTGAAAATGAGGAAGGTGGGCACACAGGCAGATATTCTTTTGTCAAAAGTCTGATCAAGGCTTCAAATGAGGAAGATGATGACAAAATGAAAACAGACAAGATCAAAACAAGTGGCAAAGTTATCAAAAGCAAAAGTGGCAGGCTGATCAAAAGGAAGCACCCAGGTACAGAAGTTTCCTGTACAGAAATCAAGTCAAGTGATAAATCAACAGAAGCAAACCTAGAAAAAGATGGTGGAAAAAAGCTTTGGAGAAGTAGTAGCTCGGGGTAGACCAAGAAAAATACATACATGTACCCCAAAAGCCCTACATCCAAACAGCAGACCACTAGTACTGGAGATGAAACAGACACGCCAGCAGTGGATGCTGAGACTGTTTTTGACTCAAATGATATGCTCAGCCCAGATGAGAACCAGGCACAGAAAAGGAAAAGAAGTAAGACTGAGAAAGAACTGGGTTTCCACTGCTGTGGGAAGAGCTTCAAGGATGAAACAGGTTTCTTCTCTCACCTCCAGAGTTGTCATCAGCAGTTCCAACATACAGAAGAGTCTGTCTCAGACTCCTGCTCAGTTTGTGGTCAAGATTTTCCATCTTTAGGGCAGCTGTTGTTCCACACCAATCTTCACGAGGCCTTGAAAGCGGTAGGTTTGCCAGACAAGCTTCAGCAGCCCTCAGAACCACTTTTGCAGCCGGTAACAAAGAGTGAAGTCCAGTCCCCGGAAAGCAACAAACCCGTTGGCTACTTCATCTGTCAAATGTGCCGCTCATCCTCCACCAAGGATCCAACTAGAGCCAAGTCAGGCGGACAAAGCAGGACTTACAACTCAGCCGGACAAAGCAGGACTTACAACACGTTTTGGGCCTTTTCCTTCCACATGCAGAAAGCTCACAACGTGCCCTTCCTTAACGAGGAAGGGAAGCCTCAGTGCCAATACTGCTCCGAAAGCTTTGACAGTGAAGGGGAGTGTTACAGACATATCAGCACGGCTCACCCTAAGTTCATGCGAGCTCCGACTAGCACGTTCAGCCAGCAGGTGGAGGATTGTCTTGGGCGGGAGGGCAACAACAAGTGTGTTCTGTGTGGAAGAGAGTTCCTGAAGAGTCGAGTCTGTCAGATTCACCTGAAGAAACATTTCTCATGGGAATAAGGGAGAGGAGAGGTTGACAAGGGAGGACGTTTTCCCTCCATACTACATGTGTGGAAACAAGAACGATTTTAGAAATGGATGTTAGATTTTCATACATCTTTGTTTTGTTCAAGAATTCAGCACAAAGCTTTAGTTTCATGCTTGCTTTCTAATGCTGTTAGATTAGTCATTCTTTACTTTCTACAAGTACATCATCTATGGGTTTGTTAGATGTTTAGTTGATGTTCCAAAAGAGCTCATTTGTTGCTGTTTTTTTTCTATGCATAGAAATTTTACTACTTTCACAATCATACACTGTCGAATTGTAAGTCAATACAATACTTGGATTGTCATATGTAGTACCTGTTAATGCATAACACTTACTAATTCTTACACTGTTACAAGGAATGCGACTTGGTGATACAATGGAAATTTCAATTTAGGTGTAGGGGAAGCTACTGGATTTTAATCAATATACATGTATAATGATATGAAATCAAAACACAAGTGCAGATATTGTCAACAGGACAGGTTCCCTCTTGTGTTCCCTATACAATACCTGCTGTATTTTCACTGGTTTGAAATGTTCAACAATCCTAGTCTTTATTATACAAAAACCTGTTATGATCCACTGTTATGTGATAGATGTTGGAAGTAATCAGTACTATTCAAACATAATTCTAAATGTGTTCTATCTAACTTTTGACATTCCATGGTTGGTTTTACTAGTATGTAAAAGTTTAACTCATTCCAGTGCCTTGTTACTGGTCCACAGTCGGAGTACTGAGTTCAAATACTACGGAGTGTACATGGATTAGGTTGTTCATTTACGTTGTTTTACCCTATGTTCGTGTTATGTTGAAAATCAGTGGAATAAAAGTATTGAGGGAGATTATTGAGTGTTTTGTCTTTTGAAGAGAGTGTACCCATGGAGTTATAGCTCCATGGTGTACCCAATTTTGAGACTTGCCTACCCACTGACACATGTAGGCAAAGTAGGGTTCTACACTCACTACTGTAAAATCAACCTTGACAATTCAAGTAAACAGGACCTGAGACTTGATTGAAGACTGGAATATTGCAGCTACATGTTGTGTTTGTACGTAGAAAACAAAACATTTCAGGTGATCACAAGAGTCACAGAAAATGTTTTATAACATACAATGTACATGTTAACGTTACAGTGAAGTGAGAAATCACGAAGGCAATACTTTACAAACTTTATCACACCCCATACTAAACAGTGATTCATTGAAACCTTCAGAAGCCACAAATTTAATTCCATCTGTCTGATTTCCACATGTTGGCCAGAGAAAGCAAGGCTAACTTTGTAAAAGGCTTCAGAAGGCAAAGCACATTAAAAAGTTACATAGACGTTCCTCCCCGTGTTCCCAATGGTAGGGCCCACCCTTTCGTTTTCCCATCATGCTTTACAACATCCGCCTACGTCTCCCGCAGAGTAGAGGGAGAAGGAAGTTCGGGTCGACAAACTAGTAAATGCCAACTTTCTCGTCTCGCACTCGCTGTCATGGCCCTAACAACGCGTTTTAGATGACGCCGATATGTTTGTGTAGATAAGCTGTACCGGGGAAAGGGAAAGATGTGTGAGTTTTCGGCGCTGGCGACCGGTCTGCTGGTCGTGTTGTGGACTTCCGTGTGCGTAGAAAGTGTTTCGTCCCCGTCCGGTTTTCTGCGTATACCCGGCGATGGCAAAAAAGTTTTGAGAATCCCGCTGAAGAGGATATCGAGAGAAATCAGCGAGGACGTGTTGGAGGGAGATGTCGGGGCCGATCCGAGCGCACAGGAGGACAACTTACGGGGGAAACCAGGGCAAGGGTACTACGTAGAGATGGCCCTGGGCACCCCTCCCCAACTGGTTGGTATTGTCTGTAAATTTGTGTTCAGTATGATATGAAGGATACAGATTTGTTTATAGGCAATAATATGGTGGTTTATACGACAACACTGATTGTAAAAGTCATCTGAAATGAAAAATAAACAGCACAATATTTTGCTGTGTCAGGGCTGAACTGTCAAAGGACCATCAAAAAAGAAAAGCCTCGTTTCTTTGTTGTGATGACTGTCCAAATAGAAACATGTAGAAAACTGTGAAAACTCGCACGATAACGTAAATCAATCTTCTTTATTTTCCCAAAGATAATAGACATGACAGCTCATTTTAATGTCTATACTCTGTGTGATTTTAATTCAAAGGAAATGTGCAATTGACAAATGCCAATAATTTATCATGATGTCACACGACAGTTGTCCTTTTGTTTATGTTGTCATTCATATTACAATAGTTATTCTGAATACAGAATAGAGATGTTGGGCAGGAGTAATTCCCATGTCACAAAAGCTCAATCAGTTTCTGAATGTTTCTTACAAAAAGGTTATCAATTTTTTTAAAATATATATATATGTTAATTATTCTGATTAACTATTCAAGCTGATTAACATTCTGATAATAACCCAATGATTGAGATGAGTCCATTTGACATTTCACAGGTGACTGATCCAACTGTCAGAGTGACCTTTTTGTAATGTTGTAATTATTAGTCCTTATATTTATGAAATTGATATGATGTGCTGAGAAGTTTGCCCAACCTGATTGTCAATAGCTTTACCCAAAAGTTTGAAGCCAAAAGGATACTAGTAGAAGTGCAGACTTCTAACAGGGCAGCATTTGTTTCTTCGACTCGAGCAACTAGAGCAGCAGTTTCTTTCAGGGGAGGGCCTTTTTCGGGGTTTGAGCTGTATCTGCGGAGAGAGCTAAATCACCCTGTCCCAAACCAGAAATGCCAGGGAGGCACAACTCCATATTATAATTCCGTCTACTGCATTAGGGAATCTCAGCCTTTAAAAAAAAATCATGTATCAGCTCCCCAAAAAATAAACGCTGCCGCTTTAGGATCCGGAAATCTGCAAAGGGGGATACTACTCAGCACAAGAACGTTAATTAGTCAGAAGTTATGCCCAACTGTCTTTGATTATCAAAATCTCTGGATCTTTTCTGTACCAACTAAGAATTCCCAGGGAACCTGTAAGAAGTTGAACACCAGTTTTATTCATCAAGTTAAAAGCATAAAGATCTAACTGATATAACACTGCTAATGTACCCACTGGCACTTTATTCCATCTAAGAGGATTACGAATGTGATATATCCTTGACATTTCAAAGGAAACAATATTTATCTTCCTCCTTAATCTCTTACGTGTTTGATAACGACCTGAGAGACTGAGGTGAGATCATTAGGTAAGCGCATCCTTCATCACCAGGACGGTGTATCACCCTCCCAGGGGGGGGACAGAGGCTCAGGAACGCAATAAATATTTGATGCTAGTAATCCTCTGTGAATAGGAGAAAGATCTTTTTAACAGTGTTCAGCCGACAGCCCTTGCACAGCTCGTGATGTAATATTGGGTTGTTAGTAGTAGTAGTAGAGCTTCATCTGTTTTATATCTCTCTGGAACTCTTTCTGTCCCTGGGGGAAGAGTAATTTAAGCAGATCAGTGTCGATATTATGCGTTTGACAGATGGGTTGGCATTGATTGGGTCACAGACATTTGTTGTATCATTCTTTAGAAGTGAGAATATTGGAAATCAATGATGTGGTGGGGTCAGCGTGAACAATTTACATGGCTAGGCAAACAACTTTTTTAATATGCATACACATACATGTACTTACAATGTATAGATTAGTCAATTAGTACAGTCTGTATTCGTAACTATTGAGTTAAGGACATACAATGTCTTTTCTTCCCACAGTTGAACATCTTGGTCGACACAGGCAGCAGTAACTTTGCTGTAGGAGCAGCACCTCATCCCTTCTTGAACAAGTACTTTGATAGGAGTTCGTAAGTACAACGTTAACGTATCTTACTAGAAAGTATTCAGTGTGACAGGCTGAATAAAAGTTCTAAGCGGAAACTATGCTGCTCCAGATGTCTTACTGAGGGACGACTGCGTGTGCATGTCGGTAGCTTGAGGAATGAATCCCCTCTACTATATATTACTAGAAAGTATTCACAATGTGTCAGAGTTCTTCAGACTGTTGGCATCAATTAAAAATCATTTAAGTTAATATCATTTAGATAGAATTTCTATGCAGCAGTCAGTATTGTTATTGAGATAATCAGATGGATATAGCAAAGCAGCATGCTTTTCTTGACCCTTGTCTTAAAGGAGTACTAACCTCCAGAAGGAAGTGCTATTTTCTGATACATCATGCTGCGATGAATACATAACTAGCCGACTTTTTACATAATTTCGCGTGTATGACTTGCGCGGCGCATGTTTGTAAAGCGACATCAATATAAATTTTCCCCATGCTGAACCACAATCGATACATCCGGGAACTCTGGACTACGCAATCCTCATACACTTCAAGTCAACATAAACATTTTTCGGCGAAAATGTAGGAGACAAGCACATTAACAAGCTGATTATTGAGAAATTACTTGCTTTACTTTACTTGACCTGTGGTTTGAATACTATTATATCAGGATGTCTAACGCAGTGAGCGCCAGTTTCATCCTGCGTGTTTTGATTTTCTCAACTTATTTGCATGTAAGTATTAATTGAACAAATGATTAGATTACGCCACTTATGGAAAAGATAATTAGATTACACCGTTTTTTTCATCGTCAATATTTCGGCATAAATAAGGGGCGATAAGGACATCAAGAAAGGCAATGGTTGGTAAGATACCAAAGAACACAAAACGGAACGAATTTTTCTTATCGCCCCTAAAATAAATAGGTAACGTAACTTTTTGTTTAAAACATAGACACCAATGTGGTAGCGTGGTGTATTCTGGGATAGTTTTGAGGGTATTTGGAGAGTTTGTCCTGGATTCGATGCGTTTTAAGACTTGCGCGCAAAATGGGCATTTAATTGTATACTGTAAAGTAATATGCATTTTCACTTCCTAAAATTAATGCCTATCGAAATATAGCACCTCCTTCTGGAGGTTAGTACTCCTTTAATTCTAAAAAAANCTTTAAGGTAGATGTTGTGGTTTGTCCTGTAGACCAATGCCCTGATATCCGATCAACATCGATGCTCTGAACAGAAGCTATCCAACAAACTGATCCTGTTAGACTCGAGTCCTAGAGCTATGATCAGCAGAAAGCCTGGCTGTATCACAAACATATAATCCTACATCTAACTAGTGATGCATACCTAAACCCAATTTTAGGTTCAGGTCCGGATTCAAGTCCAGAGGTTTAGGTTCAGGTCCGGACTTGTAAGTCTGGACCTAAACCCGTGGCATATACAAAATTGCATGTTGGCAACCTTGCAATGTTGTCTGGGTGAAACTTTGGCCACGTAACATGGAGGGCGGTACTTGCCGATGCCCAATGGCAATGTTTTCTTCATTTTGCAGCAAAGATTTTGCAATCTACGGAAGGTTTTAGGTGGTTTGGAAAGAAAAGGGGTATGTGAAATGGTCTTTTATGGTAATAAGTCCGGACTCGGTTCTTGACTTTAGGTTTTTTTGGACTTGAACCTAAACATTCTTACAAGTCCGGATCCAAGTCCAGTGAACCAGTATGCATCGCTACATCTAACTGTACCCTCATAGGGACTTGGATGGGAGGCGTACAAATGCCAATAGACTTTTTCTAACCAATAAAAGTTAGAAAAGTTTATACATGATACTTTAAAATACCCTTGGAAACGAACCGGCAAACTTTCAGCACTGTCCCACTTTGCCCCGTGAGTAAGGCCTAATGACAGAGCCTTTTCTTTGATGTAGCCATATCAAAATTTAAGCGCCGTTTAATGTAAGATATAGTGATGCACACGATGCTGGTGTAAGGATAACAAGCACTGATGAATGTATTGGGAGTTGATTGTAGCTCAATCCTCTCTTCAGGCTGTAGACAATCATGGAGATTAAGCCTCAGCGCCATCCGACCGTGTCATTACCACGTTACCCGTCCGTGTAGCCTGGGGGTGAGCAGGTGCTGGCAACCCTATCCCCACAGAGGCCATTGTCTTCCCCACTTTTAATGAACTCGTAATCCAGGTAGAGATTTCAGAGCCGCTGGAGGAAAGGAAGGCTAAGCCTCAGCCATCCTGATGCGGTTCCCCGCCCTGCAGGACTAATCACATCAGAAAATATCCTATTAGCCCAGTAAGCTCCGCTCTGACCCTCAAGTCCATAAACCACCTTTTATAATTTCCCCTGAGTGCGGCGCAAAGGGAAGAGGATGCTGTGATTGTGGATCGATTTCTTGTTCTTTGCCCCGGGAACAATTTTTTTTCCGACTTCTGAGTCCCCCAGCTGTAATACTGGTTATCCTCCAGCTGTGCCCTCTCCTCGTGCTTTTGTATCTTATCTCTGATAACAGCCATGCATGTCAGGACCATCCTACATTTATGTCCTTAGTCAGTGATACAGAAGTATATATTGCCAGAAGGTGGAACAGTGAAACCATAAATATGTAGCATTGATATTGGCTATGAAATGTGTTACTGAAACCTTTTGGCCATTAACCAACACTTCACAGTTAGATTGTAGTTATACTATGATACAATACAGAGATTTTGTAAGCTGTCTTTGTGTATCTGTAAGAGCAAAACATTTCTTGACTTGAAGCTGAAATTGCCTGAAGAGATGTCTAGATGTCTGATCTTGTGTGAATAAGGTCATGTCACTCTCGTGTCTGTAAACGCAACTCTCATGAGATTACGTTTTAAAGTGATTGGTCATTAATTATCCGGATGAAGGTGACAGTGGTCATTGAAAATTTGATCCCTGTGTAATCCTTGTGCTGGAATGAAGTTCAACATTTTACTATGTCTAGACTGGCTTCATTTTGTGAAAAAATTTCAAATTTTCAAAAGTTTTAGTTTTAGCTCTCAGCTATTCTTTTCATTTATCTCATGTTCTCTCCCCAGATCATCTACCTACATGGATTCGCAGAAGTCTGTCTACGTGCCGTACACACAAGGCAACTGGAAGGGTTCGCTTGGCACGGACGAGGTCAGCCTCCCCTCCGGACCAAATGTGACAGTCCGTGCGAACATCGCCAGCATCACCAGTTCCAGTAACTTCTTCATTAACGGCTCCAACTGGGAGGGCATTCTGGGACTGGCCTACTCAGAAATAGCACGGGTAGGTCCTGGGTACCCAAGCAGAGGTTGTGGGGGAATGATCGTTACCTTTTTATATATGGCCGTTTTTTTTTTCGCTACCCCCACCAACCTGTCGGTGGCTGGCAACCTTCTCTGGCTAATGGATACTGTCTGGCCAAATTGATACTGTCTTTTTGCCACCGAGAGGGATCTGCTTGGAGATTAGGTCCTGGGGAAATTCTCAGCCAGTGTTCTAGCCAGCCTGAAACTTTTTTTCCACCATCTCAGTTTTATTTGATGTACGTCAAGTACCAAGACGACAAACCTGAGGGGCCCAGGGGCATGCTCCTCCAGGAAATTTTGAAATCTTGACCGTCTGAAATACTATTTCCTGCATTTGAGGTGCAATTTTAGCTGGTAGATAAAGGTTAGTTGAATGACATCTGAATTGTATCCTTCAAAGATGACGGATTGGGCAAAATTCTGTCAAATGATGGAAAGATGGACGCTGGTTAGAACACTGCTCTCATCATCGTATATACCAGGGTTCAAAATCCCACTTGTATACGCAGGTTAGTGCAGGTTGAATTGGAGCTGTGCTGATACCTAACCTACACCAGTCTGTGAACCGGGTTTATGTTATATACATGTAGTGAAGTGTAAAAGAATTACAGTAATGGCAATGGTTCCTAAACAGTTTTTAGTATGACTATGATCCATACTTCCTAAATTCTGACTCTGAGTAGTGCAGGTAAAATTTGTCTGGTGCAGGTAGTTTTCAATATTACCTGTGCCAGTACTGAGATATGCAGTAAAGAGTATTTTAAGCACTATATACACAAGAATATTGGTACTAAATTACTACCAATTCCATCAGTTGTCTTTGACAAAAGGGGGAAAGTTTGACTGTGGTCAGGGGCTAAGCTGTTATGGTGATTGATAAAGATTAGATTGTGGGAAAACGTAGCATCGTAAATGACAATTTGGTTTTAACGGTAATTGGGAGTTCTGATATATGAATAAAGTAAATCTTAAACTGGTTTTATCCCTTTTAGTTCTAGTGATTTTCCAAGCCTGGCCAGCTTGAGGTCATTTTACGTAATAACGTGGAAAATAAAAACATCTGGTTTCCCCTGGATGACGCACACAATCTGTGCAGTGGGCACATGTGCAGTGTGCCAAAAATCGATTGGTACAAAAATGCCATGCTTTGTCATCATCATTGTGAACGGACCAGTTGGCAACTGTGGGCTGATATTGGACATCTGCCCCATAGCTGGCAGGAGATGTGGTACTGATGACAGTAAATACGTCATCACTGTAACACATCATTAGCCTCTGTCTCCATAGTGATGCCTACATTCCATCACATCATATGCCAGAGCTCAAAATGCTGATGTACATTTGGAATTATGCAATAAAGAATCATTGTCAATTTGAAATACTGGGTGCATAATCTTGATGCACCCGAAATTGGAGCTGTTCCAGAACTTTCACCCAATTTTTTCTGTGGATGCACTGGAGCAACCAAATATTTTCGTAGCATATTCTTGACATCAAAGTGTCAAAATATGGTAAAATCTTTAAGAATATTTTGAATGGTGCACCCAATTTTTTTTTGTGTGTACCCAATTTTTTAGGTTGGGTCCACCAGTGCACCTATCCCAAAAAGGAATTTCAAGCCCTGTATGCTCTTGACTTCAGCAGGAAGTTGACTCGAGCCCAATATTAAACTCAAAATTGTTATCACAAAATCATTCTGTGACCAAAAGAATTGCATGTGTCATGTGCCATTCCAAAGTTTTGGCTCCTGTGTAGCTAGCTAAAGCATGCATGGATGGAGTAGAGAGGCCCTGCAGACATCCTTTGTGTCATTCAGAACCCCTTCATGTGGAGAAGGTCAATGATAACGTTACCATAATGACAACAGAATGATGATATGTTACCCCGCTGATAGCGAAGTCTGACAGAGAATTGTGGAGATTATGGCTAAAGTGCTGCCAAATGTGTGTCTCTCTCTCCTGGATGGCGTTTTGCCAGGCATTTTGCCAAGTTTCGCTCCCATAATGACTCTTTAGTACAGAGGAAAATGTCCGTTTGCACATTTAACAAAGTACTGTCTTTATGGGCTGTTGATGTTGTATCATACATCTCACAGTATCATTGGATGTCTTCAGCGACTTTGGTTCTGAACACATTGATGTAAAACTAATACTGTTGCTGATGTCTGTAAATTGTATTTTTGTCAGCTATCATGTGGAAGTTTTTTGCTGGCCTGCACGCTGTAGCCTGAATGCATCCCCTTTGTGATGGGGCTCCTTTGCACTTGCTACCCCAAAAAAACAGGGTAGCAACTACAAAGGAGCTCCGTTACAAAATGGATGGCACCTAGGCTATGCCTGCTGCCCCTTCTTGGCTTGGTGATATGGGAGTAAGTCAGAATAGTGAAAGATAAAAGATACTGAATGTAAAAAGACTAAATTATTTTGTTGTAGAGAGAACAAATAGGTGACAATGACCTTGTACGTTTATCCAGTAACCCACATCGGATGACAGCTAATGATTTGATAAATGATGATTTTATTCCATGTGCAGCCTGACTCTACTGTGGAGCCCTTCTTTGACTCCATGGTGAAGGAGGGAAACATTCCTGACATCTTCTCCATGCAGCTGTGTGGGACAATAGACCAGGGCAACACCACAGACATCAGTGTGGGGGGAACCATGGTCAGCACAACTTCTGCTACCACTTTTTACCTCTTAGTTGATTACTGCACAGGCTAATATTTTTAATTTGTGATAGGAAAAGCGTAATACAGACTGTAATACTAATGCTATAACATCTGTGAGAAATTTCTGTTTGAGTATATGACAGTAGAGTATGAGAAACCATGGTCGGGATGACTTCTTCTCCCAGTTTTATCTGTTAGTACGTATAAAGGGCTTGTAATGGCTAACATATTTAAAACCGTGACAGAACAGAAAAACTGAATACAGACTTATACATGTCTTATAGGTTGTAATACTAATACTTAAGTACTTGGAGAAATCTCTCTATGTCAGTGAATAGACTGATTGTTCTTCCCTTTTTGAATTTGTAACATGATAGAACCTTCTTCTTCCCCAATGTACCTATCAGACATTGGCATGCAGTGTTTGATAGCTGTGAATCACCTTGAATGATTTTACCAGATTGTAGGAGGAATAGATGCTGACCTGTATGAGGGGCCCATCATGTACAGCAGCCTGAGGAGAGAGTGGTACTACGAGGTCATCATCACGAAGATGGAGGTGGATGAAGAAGACCTTGGAATGGACTGCAAGGAGGTGAGTCAGGTTTACTTTTCATGTGCTGGTCTCCATCATGTTTATCTTCACACAGGGAAAACATATTGTTTTTGGTCTGTTTCTTCTTTTCTTCTACATCTCCAAACACATAAGGTCAATGACCTAGACAAGATGTCAGTCACCATGGTAACTACTGCTGTGGCCGACACCCTGTAGTGGTGGGTCAAGTTATGTAGCAGGACAGAGCTGGAGGGGCTGGTCACTATGTACATGTATAAGACTATGTTTCTGTAAGAATGAACAGAGCAGTAGTTTGTTAGTCTTGAAACATTATGCAGTGGCTTTGCAAATGTTACATTTGTAGTTTTTTTCAATTTCTGTTGTGAACTCTTCTTACTTTTTGCAACAAACAAGAAATTGTATCCCTCTTATAAGTTAGCAGAATGTAACTGAAAGTTAGCAAACACTAATGGTCTTTTATCCTTCTGTTAATGCCCATTAAGCTGTACGGCTCTGTCAGATAGAACTCTGTGGCCAGCAGACCGTAACCCACACGCAAACTGTCCTTTACAGTCCTACTAATGGCACACATCAAATGGCAGTTGGCATTTAAATATAGATTGGATGAGCAAGAAGGTGACCTTGATAGTCACAAGTACAGCACTGGTTAGGCCCAGGAAACAAAATGTTGTGTTTCCTGTTTCAGTCCTGGTTAGGGATTATCTTTTTTTTTTCTTTTTTCTTTATTAGACATAGGTGATCTCTAGTGATCCAACTTATACCAAGTAGCTTCTTGCTTATACAATACACTTTAGTATAGAAAAGTGAAATTTGCATGAGGGCACTAATATTTTCAATGTCAATGTTAGAAAACTGATTGTATGTTTTATCACTCAGGTGTCATATTCTGGAGCTAGAAAAATTTGAACTGCTCAAAAAATGTATCTTCCTTGCAGGGGTCCGACCCAAAAAAAAGTCTAGGGTCACCAGTTTTATCTAGGGTTAGTTGGGAAACAGGAAACACAACATATTTTTTCCTAGGCCTTAACTTGCTGCAGAATTGATCCAAAGTGAACATTTTAAGCACCACAGTCAGGCAATAATGGCTGTCATTATCCCTGGCTTATTCCATGATATCTGCATTAGGCAGTTCAAATTTATTCACCTTCATGCATCAATTGCTTCAAACAGATTTTTTAATGATATGAAGTGGCCCTGTCATGAGAAAGATATCATATTAACAATGTGAATGTGAATTACTGTACATGTATTAAGCATTGCAATAATCTTTTTGAACAAGTAACAGACATCTATGCTACATCCTTGTCCCCTGATACTAACCTGTGATCTGTGTTTTATTGGTCATTTTTCTTGTTGGGAAACCAAGTTACAGAAGTTGATGTGGCCTTACTAGGGATTTGAAGTAATCAAGGTTCATATAACCCCAGATGTGAAGGGCTTTTTGTGCCCTTGATCTGGATAATCAGTGGTTTAGCCCATGGATTAAAGGTTTACAACAATGTGGTCACTGATTAACTGTGCATTTCAGTTTTGGCAGTTCTGCTGCAAGTTTATCTGTTGTGGACTAGAGGCAACTTTATTTACCATACGCTGTGTTGAGTTTCACTTCAGTTGTCCTTGAAATGATATACATGTACAACACAAAAAAATGTATTGATATGTAAAGCAATTATTTGCTTCCAGTAGTACCAGTAATGATTATAGTGCATAAGTTAATCCTTCTGACACTTGTGCAGCGTATGGCAAAGTGGGCAGGATTAACATACAGTTATATATATATAAAGAAAATCAAGATTTTGTGCCATCCTATTGTATACCAGGGCTCCCATATGCATGGCATTTTTTTTAGGAAGTGAGTACTTGAGCCCTGGTATACATATGGGATGACATAATATACAGGATTCATATATAGTACTGATATACAATTAGTATACAAAGTGGACAAGATTAATATGCAGTCCATTTATGTACACGCCGTGCAATAACAGTAATTCATGTCGGGCAATAGCCCTGACCTATACAGTGCAATAAGCCAAACAACACAAATCGTGCAATATACTCTTTGTAATGCTATTGTTTTATTGAAATAATTACTACAGTAATACAGATGCTTTTTTTTAAAAATAATGTTCAATTGATATTTAATTAATCCCAGATTTTAAACCTCTTGTTCCTAAGTTTGGTCAATTTGAATGTCATCTGTGTTTGTCATAGTCGTTGTCATTGTTAATGTTGTCCTGCATGCTCGGTCATTACTGGCTGGCATGACCTGGAGTTCTTGTATATTTCTTGTTCATTGAATAAAGAATGATTTACACAATACTTAGTTCAACTTTGACCTGGAGGTCTCTCTTGCAGTACAACTTTGACAAGACTATAGTTGACAGCGGCACCACCAACCTCAGAGTCCCCAAGAAAGTCTTCCGGAAAGTCAAGGAAATGCTGGATGCCAAGACAGATGTGAGTAGTCAGTTGTTGTCTCATTGTTGGAAAGTCATATAGCCCAGGTGCCATCCTACTCTTCCTAAAAAAGAGAGTGAGTATGGGAGTCCCAGTATACAACAGGATGTTAGCCAGGCTAGGTAACTCAATCAGTAAGTTTAAAATCTAGAAACCTTGATTTTCAAACGTCATTTCAGTCATAACTTAAATGTAGTCATCAAACTGGTAAAAGAAACATAAAGGTAATTTTGTACGTTGTTCTTGTTTTGATTGACAAGAGGTAGAACATGACACTGTAACATAACCTACTCTGCTCTCAATAAATCAATATTTAGGAAACTCTACATGCCATAGGGGCTGTAATAGGTCTCAATAAGGCCACACCGATTTAATTTTATGGATGACATCCGCGCGCGCATTGATTTTCGCCTGTTCTCCAAAAAAAAAAAAGATCACGTCCTCCGAGGCTCTGGCCTGGTAGTCTAGGCCTGGGTAGTCCATAGTTAGCGACAATACGGAGCCAGACACCCAGGCTACAGAAGCTCCATGACTCAAAAACTCAGTACATTGAGTACAGTGCCGATGGCTTTCCGTATACGGCGCTATGTACTGCCGCAAATTTACAATACCAACTGTGTATTCCTATGGTTTAGTAGCATTTTTATTTTTGGCCAAATTTTTTTTATTCGCCTGCGCGCACTAGTTTGGGGGTCTTCAGAGGATGTCATCCATAAAATTAAAACGGTGTGGCCTAATCAATATTTAGAGAACTGTACAAGCCGTAGGGCTTAAGTTTCTGTAATAAAGCCAGCGTGTTCCCCTGTATAGATCGACATCCCTGCAGAGTTCTGGACTGTCCGACAGGTGTCCTTATTTTGATTGAAAAGAGTTAAAACGCGAGATTGTAACATAACCTGCATTACCCTCAATAAATCAATATGTAAAGAACCTTAAATCCTGTATCTGTATAGCTGGTATAACTGCTCCTCAGTGTAACACACCAGCTTCTGTATCTGTATAGCTGGTATAACTGCCGCTCAGCGTAACACACCAGCTTCTGTATCTGTATAGCTGGTATAACTGCCGCTCAGCGTAACACACCTGCTTCTGTATCTGTATAGCTGGTATAACTGCCGCTCAGCATAACACACCAGCTTCTGTATCCCTATTGCCAGCATATACGCCCAGCGTAACTTACCAGCTTCTGTATAGCCCTTGACGTAACAAAAAAGCTTCTGTATAACTAGTATAACCACCCCTCAGTGTAACACACCAACTCTGTAGAGCTGTAGTACAGTAATAAAGCCAGCCTGTTCCCCTCCACAGATCGACATCCCCCCAGAGTTCTGGACGGGTGAGGACCTGATGTGCTGGAAGATCGGTTCCACACCGTGGGAACACTTCCCTCCCATGGGCATCTACCTGCAGGGCACCTCCAACAGTGAGGAGTTCAAGCTCCTCATCTCCCCGCAGCAGTACATGCGCGCCGTCAGCGACGGGCTAGGCCGCACCGAGGACTGCTACAAGTTTGCCATCACCTCATCAGACACAGGTAGTCTGTGTGCTTCATTGTTTGTCTGCCTTCTACTCAATTACTTGGTCACTAATTTCCCATTTAAAGATTGCTGCAGCTCACAGTAGACATGCCAGGGGCTTATGCTTGCTAGCCACTGCCCTCCTGGCATTTCTTTGTGAAAACTTTGTGGAGCTTAGAAGGAGATGACAGTATAAACTGGCAATATAAACAAACTACATGTATAATGTATTCTAGTATGTATCGGGTTCGCCATTGTCTATATTCTGACAGCAAAGATCTGTGTGGATCTGTCATCTGTCAAAGACGATTGTTCCAGCCTGCACCTCATGTGTGATAGGGGTCCTCACAATAATATATGAGTACTTTTACATCTCTTACAACTGTTGAGAGACGACTGATAATCATCGCATGTCTAGGTTTTATCCCATTGGATTCCTTGTAATGAGCTGTTTGTTTGTTACAGGAACTGTGATTGGAGCTGTAGTGATGGAGGGATTCTACGTTGTCTTCGACAGGGCAAACAAGACGGTGGGCTTTGCCAAGTCCACATGTGGAGGTGGGGCGTCTTCTGTTTGCTACTCAGATGTAACAAAGGGTTATCCAATGAAATTTAAGCCTTTTTATGTTTTAGATCTCTAGTGTTTTTCTACTACATGTAGTGGTTGAATTACACGTACATGTTTCCCAAGGTTTTAACAAGGTTCTTGTTGTTGACAGTCCGAGACACAACCCAGTCCTCAGGGGTGGCAGGACCATTCCCACACAGTGAGTAACGCATTAATGCATAATCATGAAATACTGTCCTACAAAAAGTACTCAGTACTGTGCCAACTTATATATGCCGCGAAAGGCTAGCATATGCTGGCTTGCCGTAAAACTCGCTATGTAATACCTCAAATTCATAATACCAGCTTTGTATTCCTGTTGTTTAACAGCATTGTTTCTTTGGCTGGATTTTTTTATTCACCCGCGTGCAGTAGTTTTGGGGTCTTCAGAGGATGTCATCTATAAAATTATGTCAGTGTGGCTTTATGTACCCATACAGGTAACACGACAGACTGATATTACCTATTTATTATGATTTCATACTACTTGTATGTACCATATGTACATTTGAGTTACTTTGGTTTTATTTGACTTATGTTGTCAAGTTGGATGGTTCACTTCTTTTGTTCTTTTCCTTTGTTGAATAGATATTAAAAAAAAAAAAAACACGACGGACTGTGCATCCACGGTGCCTCAGGCTGCTGTAACAGTGTGGTTATGTGTTGTTCCTGTGCAGGTAACATGACAGACTGTGGTTAATGAGAGGTTACCTTTTGTATCCATGCAGGTAACACGACTGACTGTGCGTACACGGTGCCTCAGGAAGACACCACAGTGCTAATGATGGTGGCATACGTGATGGCGGGGATCTGCGGCATGTGCATGCTGCTGCTGGTCGTCATGCTGGGGCAGTGGCAGGTCCGTTTGTTTGTTTGTTTGTTTGTTTGTTTGTTTCACCAGAAGAAAGGTAACACAACTAAAAAGAAGGTTCATGCCTATCATAAGTCGATACAAAACTTAAGTAACTTACCCCAACTAAACAAACTGTAAGTCATGAATAAAGAGAATCTCTTTACACAACCTGGAGGTTTATTCTGCAATTCTGACTGGTTCACATAAAGTCATGTTTACGAAATAAGTAAAACAATAGTATAACATAATGCAATGTAAAGCATAATAAGATGATACATTGGAAATTTGCCTATCACTGCAGGTGCGCAGGTGGAGACGAAGCTTGGACGACTGTGCAGACGACACCTCACTGCTCAAGAGCAACACGTCTTACTGATCAGCTCTATCAAAGTAACAGTTACTCAAGCAACTGGATAGATTTTGAAAATGGTCAGACATTCCTGGTAGCATCCACTACCTTTGGTCTGTGACTAAAACGGCTGACCATTTTCAAAATCTATCCCGTTGCTTAAGTAACTGTCAGTTTGGTATCTTGTAATGTGGATAGATCGACAGATCATCTGTATCATTTCTTAAGTCTTTAGAATTTCTGTTGTTGCAGATGTCTTGACTCAGTGTTTCTTTTTGTCAGTATTCTACTTACTGTTCTGTGGTGAAGAACTGTCTTTGTATATAGTTGGTAACTAATTGTGCCGGCAGAGCCTACAAATTCTCATGGTAGATTTTGTGCCACGCTTGTAAATTAATTCTTAGGATGTTACTAAAAGAGTCAGCAAATCTACAATAGAATACCAACACATCATCAAATAAATGATACACACTATTTTACAATATTTACTTCTTCTATGTTTATATCAGTTTGTAGGTTTTCTCTTCACTGTGCACATGTGCTATTTTCTCACAGATGTTAGAGAAAATAATTTTAGACAAAAGTTAACATGTTCAAACATGTTGAAGTAAGCAATAGCCTAATGTGAGTCATGTGATTTTAATGTCATTGCCAAAAGAATCATCACAAGCCATTGCTATTTATTGTCAAAGTTTGAAGCGTGAATTATCTGTAAAAAAGTGACGCAGTTACCAGTTTTTAGAGTAACAAAAGTTTCCACTCTTATTTATCTCTACAAGGAAAATACTAAATCAGCACTGAATACTAAGTACTAGTAATTTTTTTATCAGGGACGTATGTTAGTATTTGTCACAGTTAGAGCCACAAAAAATATGCACGTTTTATTTTGAAGCAGATTTTTCTTGTTTAGATATTTGTTTGTTTGTTTGTTAACTTTCTATGGTGTATATATTATTTTCAAAGTGCAATTCGCACAACACTTATAAAGTCATGATCATTCCATAAAAACTAAATATGTGTGTTAAATGTAAAAAAAGACAGTGTATAGAGCAGTATATTTTTAGACACTAGATATTTAGTGATACATGAATGATAGACTATGCAAGGACAATTTGTAATGATAAGATAAGAAGATAAGAGATGTTAAAGATAAAGTGTTGAAGAGAGGCTTGTACTTGATCTATCCTGGAGGTGTCATGACAAAATTGTGCAAAGTTGGTGTTTCAACAGTATCTGGTAGGAAGGAAGTTAACTTTTCAGCTTAGTATATAGTCATGCTACAGAAGTATGGCATCATTACATCATAGTATTATCAAGCTACCTTAATTTGTATTGATTGTACTGGTTTCGGCCAAGGAGGTTGAAGAGAAAATATTCCTTATATTTAAAAAATGTACTTTTTAAAGCTTTTGTGTCCATAATGTCTGAAGAGATGAGAAACACGATTCCTTGGGATTTTTCTTTGCACAGATTTCATGTATGAAGACCACATTGAGTATGAAATACACAACTGGGATACATATGTTGAGACTGGTCTGTCACAATAGCTGTTTTCAGGTGCTGCTGTTGTTGACTCTGAACCTAATGAGCTCAGTGACTTGTGTTCAAGCGTGTGACATTGCGTTTAAGGCATCCAGTGCCAGTTTTTAGGGCTTGGAAACCTGATTTTTTTCAGAGCCAATATTCTAGTCATTTATCTACATACTGAGTTGAAGCCACACTATCCCAATGTATATTGACCCTCATGGAGCAAAAATTCTGACGCAAAATGTTTACTGGAAGGGCCCTTGGCTGATTTTTAGAAAATAAAGGACTCATCTTGGGGCTTGTTTCTGCAGTTTTAAAAGCCCAAGCTATGAAATGAAATAAATGAAATGAAATACAAACTCAAATGTGCTAATGTGAAACAGTATGTGTCAATATCACAAAGATTGCCTTATTCAGAATATTTCCAGTTTTGCTGCCCTGAAATCGCGTTGGATGCCTTTTTGCAGTGTAAAGCCTTGGAGTGTGTACCGGTCAGTAGTGCTGCTTGTCCCTGTAGGCTTAGATCTGGACTCACGTCATGCTACATACTTATACTAGTAACCTACTTTGATCACGCATGTAAGACTGTATGAAGTTTTAACCAAACAGAGGTGTTGTAGATTAGGTCACTCCTTGATGACGTATACTCCATGGATAAAACTCTGTCGAAACAAAGCCGCTCGCAGTCGCTTGTTCGATGTAGTTATTATATACAGTTTATACAGCTATTCTACCTAATACTTACAAGGAAAAAACACCAATTATTACCGGAGATACTACAAAGAAATGACAGATTAGGACATGCTGTGTTCCTTCCTTTATTTGTAGCATGGATGTAGCCTCAAATAGAGAGATAACATGCCGAGGGAGTTGGTCAGCTGTAGAGTACATTTCGTTGCGACAAACTGTACTCTCTAGCTATAGAGTACATTTTGTTGCGACAAACTGTACTCTCTAGCTATAGAGTACATTTTGTTGCGACAAACTGTACTCTCTAGCTATAGAGTACATTTTGTTGCGACAAACTGTACTCTCTAGCTATAGAGTACATTTTGTTGCGACAAACTGTACTCTCTAGCTATAGAGTACATTTTGTTGCGACAAACTGTACTCTCTAGCTATAGAGTACATTTTGTTGCGACAAACTGTACTCTCTAGCTATAGAGTACATTTTGTTGCGACAAACTGTACTCTCTAGCTATAGAGTACATTTTGTTGCGACATACTGTACTCTCTAGCGGACCAACTACCTCGGCATGTTATCTCTATTTGACCAATTTCTACTCTTTCCAGCCCCCTCCCGAAGCCTGGTAGAGGCTAGCACGGATGACTGAACGAGTCCCGCGATCGGCACTCGGTCAGTGACTGGCGATGCACGAACTTAACGATGATTTGATGTTTTCGTAAACTCAGTCAGTCATAAAAATTCAACGACTAGAAAATATGACTCTTGAACTATTCTTTGAGTGAGCTATTACTACCTGCCCTCACAATTTGTTGATACAGAGACAGTCTTCCCGTATTACTAGTAATTTTAATACCAAATAAATTCTACTTTCCTCTGGGACGGTTCCGCTCGGTTTGTTTAAGCCTTAGCCTGTCACACATCCACGAACATATGGCCTGCAGAACACAACTGCACAACTACCCCCACCCCACCCCCAAACCATGGTTATGAGTAGGTTGGAGTAACGTCAGCTGGGTGTCCAAGCAGAGGTTTGGGGTTATTTTTGGTGTGTTTTTAGGCTTTTTTATCAGGGTTTCTCTTTTGCACTGGAACTGGGTGAAAATAAATTGCAGTGCAAAAGAGAAACCCTGATAAACAAGGAGAAGTCGTAGACATCGTCCCTCCATGAAATAGCTTGTTATTTTGTAATCTTTTGGTGTATTTTAATAGAGATATTATGAGTCAAACTTTGTTTTTATCAGCAGAATGATAGATGTCTATAGATGTCTATCCTTTAAGAATTTTGTTGTGGCACTTCGTATTGGAAGGGGTTGCCTATATTTATCAAGCTGTCATGTGCAGGCGTTTAGTGTCTTGTTACCATGGTTTGTTTGAGGTCAATGACCTCTCAAGCACAACATATTAACAAACCACAGATGACCCAGTTCCCTGCTGAATGACCGATTAAAGATAAGATATATTTCCTGCAGACATGGTCTAGAGGTAAAAATAGATTGGCCTGACCTGCCAGCTGGAGGTATAAACAAAAACACTCTGTACCAATTTGGGGTCAAACAGACCATCCTATTATGAAATAGGGGTGAAAATGTGAAAATCCTTTTAAATAAGCAATGCAAATCTACGACAACCTGCTAATGCACGCTAAAACGCAAAGACAATCAGCGTCTACCCACATACCAAAAATGATCGCCCACCATCCACCGGGTTCTGAGATCATTCAACGCAAACAATCTGACATTGAGATAGCAATTCCGGTTCAAAGCAAACAGCTAGGGGGCCCAAATTTACATCAGTAAACCATTGTAACCACAACTACATGCTACCTTAGCATCGCACACACAGACCATAACGTGCCAACAATAGAATAAAAAATTAAACTGCAGTACCAAGGTCAATCACCAGGTGCTCAAAGTCAACCTACACAATCTCCAAGGCCCCATCCATCAATCTGCCAAATATCATACAGTTCCTTCTCACCGATCTTCAGATATCAGACCAAACATGAAACGGAGTAAAAACAATACCCCCCATTTACATGGAGGGTAAAAAAAGTATAAAAACACACCCCAAACCCCAAACCTCTGCTTGGAGAGTAGCTGGGTCGGCTGATGTTCGGCTGGGCCGGCCACTATTCAGCCGGAAGTTTCAAAATGTTTTTAAAAAATCCGGGCGCGTAAGGGAGTTGAAAATCATTGGTTATTGTATGTTGCTGCATTGTGCACAACCAAAAACCTTACACAGATGCAACAGTGCAGGGAGGCAAAACAGCACCAAGGCAATTGAATAGGGTGTGACAAAGAGGGGGGGGAGGTCTTTACGCCATGAAGTACAAAGGATATGCCCCATGATAACCGCAATAAAAGGTATTTCAATTATTTTTATTGGACGCTTGTAATAGACTCGCTGAGACACAAGTTTTTAGAACACGGAAGTCTGGATCTTAATAACACCATTGTCACATTGTCGTGGTAGACTAGCCGAGCCTGAGGTATGCTGATGGTGACCAGGATATATATGTATATATTTGTATATATATGAATATATATATACGTACTATCATAGAGTGGAACTATCATAGAGTGGAACTCGCTACCACCACATACACATATACATACATACATACATACATACATACACACACACGCACACACATACATACATACATACATACATACACACACACACACACACACACACACACACACGCACGCACACACATACATACATACATACATACATACATACACGTGACCCCAAAAAGAAGTCCTGTATTTGCTTTGCATCTTAGTTATTTAGAAAAGAGTGAGAATAATTCGCAGCGGTGGAATGATTCCATTCTGATGGTAATGCAGTTTTTGACGTGTCCCTCGCCAATCGTTTAAAGGTACGTGTACGTTTTCTCTCCGACAAAGCCTTGGTAACTGTGTATTTGTCCTTGGTAACACTGAGTATACAATGATAAAGTAATCGACTTTCATTGATTCCCAAAGCATTTTTAACATGCATATTCACACAATCATGCAATCCTCTTTTGAAATCAAAACGAGCGATGAAGTGTGCAAAGAAAAGAAGGATTCATTCACAAGCCGACAGCAAAGATAATACCGACTTTTCAATACTTGATTCTTTGCCATTTTATCTTTCAGCTAGCAACATAAACGGTGACTCATAGATGTACATTGTCCGTACAGGTAAGTTTCTTTAGAATCATTCACTCACGTTGTCGTTGAATCAATCACTCTCGCTTAAAGTGATGTAAAATGCCTTTGATAAGGGCACAACGTCGGGATAGGTGGATTTGAACCTAGGACCCATGGATACCGGGCCGAATGCCTTACCGGTACACACACAGTGATTTTCTGTAACGCCTCTGTCTGAAGCAAAGTATCGCCCGGACCTTGCCTGGTCCACATGTGATGCGATGACGATCCAACTTTACGTTGTTTTGCCAATTGGATCTTCTACTGGCTGCAGCTTGTCAGTGGTAGGTACTGCACATAAAGACTACGCGTTAACGACTATGCATGATGTACATGTGAGTAGAGCTAGAGCTGAGCTAGAGCTGCAATGTAATATTACCTGATGTGATTCCACTGTGTTGGCTACAGTTTGTCATTGGTACATGGTAGGTACTACACATGAACATTGTGTGCTTAATACTCTGTGTGGTAGCGGTGTACAGATAACTAAATTAGCGGACATAGCAACTAATAAGTATCTAATACCAGCTCGGACAAGAACAAGAAAGAGGCATACTTTTAAATACCAGGGTTATCAACCAAGGATTGAAGTGGGCACAAATCCGTTTTTCCCGGCTAGAACTATCATAGAGTGGAACTCGCTACCACTACATACAGTAGGGACATGTGGCTTGTATCCAAAGATCTCCCATACCAAATTTCAGGTCATTTGGTTTTAATAATAGGGCACAGGAGCCAAAAATGTACATTTTTGGTCTGGAAATATTCTAAAACCTATATTGTACAATTTTAAAGTGGTATATGTCAAAAGCATGAATGGCATCCTTTGAATATGTGTCCAAGGAATCCCAATACCAAATTTCAGGTCATTTGGATTGAATATTGGGGCACAGGAGCCAAAAAAATGTATTTTTTTTTGTCCTACAATATAGCCTATTAGCCCTATTTTCCACATTTTAAAGTGAGGTATGTCAAAAGCTTGAATGTGTTTTTGTAGACATATGTCCAAGGTATCCCCATACCAA